TAATTAATATAAAATTATTTTTTAATTAAGTTTAATTTAAGGGTAAAAAGGATAAAGGAAGCATTTATATTTATATAAGGTTTAATAAAGCTATAAGTTAATAATTTATTTATTACTTCTTTTTTTAATAATAGGTATTAAATTAAAATTTAATATTAAGGGGAGTTATTTAAGGGATTATTAATAATAATTTTAAGGATTATATTATATTATAATTATAATAAGGGTAACTTATTAACTTTTACTTTTAAAAAAAACCCTTTTAAATAGGTTAGCTCTTTAAGGATTAAGTAATAAATTAGTTTAATATATTTAAAATTTTTATTTTATAAAAAAGAAATATATTTATTATTAAAGGTTTTTTAAATCTTTTTTAATATTATTATAATTACCTTTAAAACTGCTTTAATAAATTTAATAAATATCAATTTATTTAAAAGTACCCTTTTTTTCTATTATTTTTATTTAGGGTTTAATTTAATCTTTTTAATAAGTTATTAAATAATCCTTTTATTTTAAAATTGTTTTATTTTTAAGCTTTTTAATTAGATAATTTTTTAAAGGTATATAGTTAATTGCTTTAAAATAGTATATTTCTTTTTTAAAGCAGCATCCTTTTAATTAGCGTTTTATTAAATAATAAGGTTAACTTATTAATTATTAAAAGATTTTTATATAATTTTAATTATAGGTAAAAATAAAGCGAAGGGAAATAAATCTTTTAATTAATATAATATTTAATAAATATAATTTAAAGTAACTTTATTTTTAATTAATTACTTTAAATTAATTATAATATTATATTTAATATTAATAACTTAAAAGGTTTAATTTTTAAACTTTTATTTATTTACTTTTAAAGTAGTAATAAAGTATTAATTAATTATATTAATAAATTATTCTTAATAATTATTTAATTATTATAATTATTTTAAAATAATTAACTTAACTTTTAATTAATAATTAATATAATAAGTTAATTTATAATTAATTATTAAATATATTTAAACTTTAATATTATATAATATAATAGCTTTTATTTTAAAGTTATTTATTTATATTTAAATAGGGTATATAAATTAAATAATATTTTAACTACTTTTTATATAAGTTAAAAATAATTTATAAATTATTAAAAAGTTTTTTTAATAATTTAATTAATTTTTTAACTTAAATTTAATAAAAAAGGAGTTAATAAGCTTTTTTTTATTTTTTTTATTTTATATTTAAGCTATATTTTTACTTTTTTTAAGATAATTTATAATATAATATTTTATTTTATTATAGTTAAAATAAGTATTATTTTTTTAATAGGTTTTTTTCTTTTCCTTTAAAAGCTTTATTTCTTTAAACTTTATTATAATATTCCCTTTATTTATATTTTTTTTATTATTAAAGTTATAATTAATAAAGCTAATAGTTTATTTTTTCTTTTAATAATTATAATAATAATTATAATTATATATTATTTTTATTACTTTATTATAAAAGTATTTATATAATATTAATAAATTAATATTAGCTTTAAATATTTTAATTTTAAGGTTAAAGTTAATATATTTTTATAAAAATTAAAATTATTTAAATTTAAGCAACTTTAACTTTAATATTAAGTTATTAAATCGAAAAATAAATTAATAAATATTAAAACTTAATTTAAAGTAAAATTTATTTAAAGCATTTTATACTTAAGCGGTTTAATTTAAGTTATAATAAGCTATTTTTAACATTTATATTATTTTAACTAAATTATTATATAATTAAGTAATAAAATAGAAATAAATTTTAATTACTTTTTTAATATCTTCCTTTAAAAGGGATATAATATAATATATTTTACTTTTTTTAATATAATATATTATTATATCTTTTTTAAATTTATTAATTAACTTTTTTAACTAATTATTAAATAAGTTTTTATTTTTAAAAAAGGTATTTAAATTAATTTTATAAATTTTAACCTTTTTTATATATTTTAAATTTAAGCTTATAAAGTTACCTATTAAGCTAATTATTTTAAAAAGAGTTTATATAGCTATATTAATTAATTTAAAGTTAATTTTATTAAAGGTACTTTTAACTATACTTTTTTATAATATTAAGGTTAAGCTATCTTTTTTTATTTAAACTTAAAAAGCAGTAATTTATTTTTTATAACTATTAAATTAAAGCAATTTAATTAATAATATTTATTTTATTTATTAATTAAAGTAGTTTTATTAATCCTTTATTTAAATTAAGGTTTAATAATAAAAATATTATATCTTTTAATTTAGGATTTAAAAAGTTTTAAAAGTTATTTTTAAACTTAATATTAGTTTTTTCTTCTTTAATAAAAGAAATAAAGTTTTAAATTAATTATTTATTAATTATAAGAATGTTAGGTATAATATATAATAATAATTATTAAAATTATTTTAAGTTATTTATTTTAAGTTATTTATTTTAATTAAGGTTTTTTTAATTTTAAAGGGTATAAGGTTTAATTTTATTAATTAAGTTTATTATAAAGTTATATTTATTTATTATTAAGTATAAAATATAATAATAAAAAGGAAAGGTTTAATTTATAAATTATAAATAATAATAATTAAATATAAATAATATATTTATATAGTATTTATTAATAAAAAGGAGGAATTTAAAATAATATTATAATTAAAAATTTAAAATATAATTATATTAATGCTATAAATAAAGATTTTAAGTTAAAGAAAAAAGAAAGGAAAGATAAAATTAAAATATAAATATATATAAAGATATATATATACCTATAGCTATTATAAGTTATATAACCTTATTAATATAGATTTTATATATCTTTATAGTATCCCTTTATAATGCATATAGTATTCCAGTATAATACCTGTTTAATATATTTGTTATAACAGATATAGATGTATTAAAAAGAATATACTTTGCTTTATCTTCTATATACCGTTGATTAAGACTTCTTAATATATTATATATTTAATCTAAGCCTAAGAGGTATAGGTTTTATTAGTTTCTTGTTGCGTGTCAGCTGTCCCTATATCCTTATATAATAGTATTAAATATACCCTATACTATAATATATATTATATTAAGGGCTATAATCGTTATAATTAGCTAGAGGTAAAGAGCATTACGAACTGTAAACTTTATAAAAGTAATGATTTTGGGCTGCAGAAGTAGGATAAGGGTTATGCTAATAGGTCGAAGATTAGGGACAGCTTGGCTATTTTAATTACTACAGTTACGGTGGCTGGCCTGGTGACCCACCTGGGGCTTGGGGCCCAGATGGCCACATTGCCACGCGTATCGCAATCACCACGTGACCATCGCTTCGCTGTGCGCACTAAAATACTTTGCCATACTTTTTGTACTTAAAATATTTCCTCCGTTCTCCATCTCACAATAAATATACAGATGGTACCCCAATATGAGCCTTGCCTTGTACATGATACTCCAATCGTGACAACTACTATTAACGTTTTTATTTATGTTATAATAAAGGCGTAGGGTATTGGACTAAAGAAAGTACAATAACCTAGCTACTACGGCAACGAGATTATAAACCAACTGGATAATAGCTTGCATATTAACTGTCGGTTTGAACGATCCAACGTAGAATTGCGAAATAAGAAGCAAATCCAAGATGATGTTGACGATAAACTTGACAGCGTTTATTATTAATGGCACATCTAGTTTGTCCAGGGCCCTGGTTGCCGTTGCCACGGCCGTTTCTAAAGCACTAGCGAACACAGTATTAAGAGCATAAACCTAAGCATTAGTAAAGGCCTCCCGGGTTTGACTGCTTTGCTGGATATAAGCTTGCCAAATGGGCCAAATCTCCTATATTTGTCCATTTCCTTAGTATTGAGCTCTGATAGGATAGGATAAACAGCATCATCTTCATCCCTATTTTCGTGATCAAGATCGATTATATATACCCCATCTTCTATATCTCCTAGATCATTAAGTATCGTACTGCGTGGGGCACGTACAAGGTCGTTTGTGAAGCTCTATATTGCTATATCTATAACTATCGTGACCTTCGTAACTGGGTCTCAAGGGCTCCTTATATAGCCCATCCGATCGTACGATTCTAGTGGTGTAGGAGCCGTTGCCGAGGGCTTGGCGGCTCCACTACAGCGTGGCATTAAGCTTATTAACCAGCTCTTATAGAGCCTCTTCTTTGTTATCGCTATTTTCGTCTTCCTATCTTGCAACAAGCTGAGAAAGACCTTCCGTAGCGTTCGCTACCGTATGCCCTACAGTGCGTTATCTATTGACATATCCTTTATTCTGATACAATATACCTCGCGTCGCAGGCTAAGTCAACAGGAGTCACTTCTAGACCCGGGCTCAGCGCCATTATGGATCTACATTTGGCTCTGACCCATTGTTCCGAGCCGGCATCAGTGGTTTAGTGGTAAAATCCATCGTTGCCATCGATGGGCCCCGTGTTCGATTCACGGCTGATGCATCACCGTTTATTTTTGCGCATCATTGCACCATGCGCCCCTCTGGAACCTTAAGGTAGCCATTCTTCGAACTGCTGAGTAAGGGTGGGGGATTACGGAGCAGATCGGATATCAGAAAATCGTCGGCAGGTGATAACAGAGCAATATACTACCAGGTGATGATGATCAACATTAAGTCCAACGATTAACATAAATTTTCATGTCCCCGATTTGTATACTATCTACTCAGAGACGTAATTGCATTGTATGGCCCAAGGACCTGGGGTGGTTCGATATATCTAAAGCTGAGAATTCCTGGGCGACATTCAGTTGCACCGAAATAATTCTTAAATGTACAATCAGTCTATCGAGACAATACTAAGTATCATTGATATAAGAGATCACTACACTAGGCATCCGCTATCAATAACTCCTCATCAACAAACTTGCAAGCCTAAATGCCTAACCCGCACTATATGCTGCTGGTGAGCCGTGAGTTTGATTGGTCACTATCTCACTGAATAGATTATAATATTTTTTCCTTTTAATCAAATGCTAGAACGTGAAATTGAAATTAAGATCGACCTTGTCTCGGATTTGATCTATAGATGTATTAGTTATGTGATCCCATCGACACTGTAGCGCGTAGAGTGACTGACCTCGCATACCACCCAACGCTTCGAAGGCTGTGGCGTAGTTCTCTAGTGTCGCTAAAACGGAGAGTAGCCCCTGCTGCAAGCGATCACGCAAATTGTCTACAAGAACATTGTTATTCCCGTTTGACTTGGGATAAATAGACTCTGTGCGATCCTTGACCATAAGCAAGGCGTAGCTACATTGCATTGCACAACAAGCAAAAGAGGGCATCGTCCTAGGCGTGATGAAGGTTGACCTTGGCCCTAAGTAGACTGGCGTTTCGCAAAATTGACCAGTGGGGTTCGGATAAGGCATAGCATCAAAGCTTGCTGCAATGTTCAGGGCGGACTTTAAGCAAATCCTAGTCGACTCATGCCTTGAGAACGGCATATCGGCTATAGACGGCTGCGTATGACCGTTCGAGTTGGGTGATGGACTATCAGACGCACCAGGGGATAAAGATCCTGTCGACTGCCCGCAGGTTGATGGAGGGCTGTGTAATGTTGTCATGCAGCAAGATTGAAGACGTCGAGGTTCACAGCCATAGTCTTCCTGCTTGGGAAGGCTAGCTAGATCACAATGCTTGTTGGTAAACACCGCGATGTCAAAGAACGCACAGTAACGATGCACCTTAATTCGGGCACTAGAACCAAGTTAATTAACGGACTGTTACATGGCAAAAGCATACATGGAAAACAGTACCTATTTAGTTTGATTCGCGACATGCATCGCAAAGCATTGGCCATAACAGCTTCGTTACGATCAACTGGCTGTGCTATCGGGAAGTCTGAAGCCCATGACTCGGTTTGGTTTATCAACGGTTCTAGGAGCCTCTCAAGTTCTTGCATTCGAGTATAAATTCGAGTCATATCTGCCCCAGTTTCTCTGACCTTATTAAACTCGATGACAAACTGTGTGGCGGCTAGAATAGCTTGCTGGGACCGTACAAAAGTTGGCCAAGCCTGAAAACAATTAGCACACTTCAGCAGGAGTGGATGAGATTCATACCTCTGCATCGGCTAGAATCGTCGGGTACCTAGCCGTGTAGCTTGATCCAAAGACCTCAAAGGTAGGCGCCTATTTGGGTATCAATAGCTGGGCATAGTGAATCTAGAGGCGGATTGGTAAATATACCGTGTTGCTGACTATTGAGCCTTGACATACACAAATGTACGTCATCCACCATACGCGTCGGCGAGCCTCCGTGAATTCGTCCTCAACTTCACTCCTCTGATGTAGATGGAGAGACATTGCTGCCACTAATGCAGCTCCAGCCCTTGCGCGCATTTTCTTCAAGTTTCCGCGTTGCGCATATTCGTAGATGCTAAGAAGATCAAGAGCTATAATACTTTCCAATTCCAGCGGGACCTGAGGATGGAACTTCTCGCGAAATATTTCGTCATCGGAGTCATCAAGAGCTTTGGCGGGTTCGACTGATGACTCGGGTCGATCACTCTCATTTTCAACACTTTCTAATGCTGCCTTGGCGAGGAATTGAGAATACGTACGTCTCCAGCGAATAGACTCCTCACTCAGCGGGTGAGAATCGAGGGGACATGGGATGAGGGCTAGTATCGCTGAAATCGCTAGAGATATCGCAGACAAGGGCTCCTGAAAACCTTCACTCTGGTTCTCTGCCAAGGCCAGCGGCTGATCAGGCATTGGTACCTGCTCAGGTGCTGGCAGAATGGGAAAGTATGGGTGTATCCATATATAATACGCATTCAAACTTGGAAAGTTAGCCTATATCCTAGCTTAAGTGACGCATTGCGACTCACATGGCGCGGTTATCACTTCCATAGGTGCGAGTAATGGGTACATGTATACTAAATGGTATTTCCTCCACGGGACTTTGGAAGAGGTGGTCATATATAGTATCGCTATCCTGAAATACTTCAGCCAGTGCCTTGAGGCCGGCCCCAGGACCGATGTACTCTTCTACTAGGAGTCCTGTGACTCGTCAGACCCTATTTGGATGCTGAAGCGCGGGATTTCTTACCAGTCTGCGGCATCTCCTCTGCTTTCGGAGGTAGAGATGTGGCAAGATCTTGGTAATCAGAAAGGGGACGCGACTTTTTGCGAACGCGAGGGCCACCCCTTCGACTGGGCTTGTAGACGCATTCGCGATCTTTTGTCACACACTGCGGCGGGTTAGACTCGCTCTCTGGTTGCTTGGGTCGCACGCTATGAGTAATAAAGGTGGACATATTCAAGCATCAAATGAAAATGGGGAACGCATACACTGGCGCACGGATGCTCGCCGTTACATCTCGTCCTGGATGCCCGACTATATTTTTTATCAGTTTGGTATTAGTACAAGGTAACACGGCGCGAACGAGATGCCGTTCAAGCAGCCTAACGTATGACGGATGACATACCAAGACAAACAAGCTATCTTGACAGGAGGAATGGCAAATTTTTTCCTCATAGGGCCAGGAAAAGCCCTGGAAAGCGCCTCAGCAGCCTCAGTCATGGTGGTAGTTGAAACGCGGGAAGCCAGTTTAGCTCGAGGTCCTGACGAGAGGCTCGCGCGAGAGGAGGTGGGGATCTGTGGCTCCCGTCTCGGTTCGGGACACTTAGGTAGTGAACACTGTACGCGGAATCGGGGGCGGTATGTTTTGATCAGTTATTTCCCTTTCTCCCACTCGGCAGATGGTCTGCGATAGAGGAGCCACGGAACTTGGTGGGGATGGAAACGACAAGAAGCAAAGCTCCGATACGGCCGTCCGGAGATTTTCAGGAGGTTTAAGGAGGTTTAAGGAATGGAACTACCCTTTACCACGGCCTGGTGGCAATGCTTAATCAATCGTTCGAGTATGGCCCCCGGTAGCACCGACAATTTAGCAAGGTAGTGCCAGCCAGCACGATGAACAGCGAGCAGCCAGTAGCAAGTGGCGAGTGGGAGGCGGGGAGGGGGTCGAGAGCACCGCTGTCGTTATAGAGTGTACCACAGAAGCCACCAGGCAGTTCATAACGCATACATACGCATATGAACGCACGTATACACGCAGTTGGACACACGTAGATGATGGTACAGGGCAAACACGGCAAGATATGCGTTCATGACGCTCCCCAATCGGCTCATCACACACCGGCTACCAATGCAGAAGCCAGGAGCAGGGCCTGTCGGCGCGCGATAGATATAACCTACTTCGTACTTGTTGCTCACGCATGGGCCCCCGCGGCGACTAGTGGGGGAGATGGGCGTACAGGAGAGATACCGTAGGTACAGCACGGCCTGGCATGGGATGCAAACAAGGGAGTCCCCCAAATAGAGTGGCTATACGTGTTCTTGAGAGACGATTGAGTGAACCGTTACTACAGTTCTGTACAGTCGAGGGCGTTGGACAGCTCGGACAGGTGGGAACGTTGCTCCTAGTTATCACGATCGGCAGGCGAGGGTGGCGCGTAGGTAGGGAAAATGTCCCTCCAATACCTTAGTCTTAGGTAGTGTGTGCCTTCTCAGTCAGCCGGTGCTGGTAGACACAGAGTCTACACAGAGTCTGCACAGGGTCTGCACAGGGTCTGCACAGAGGTTGGACACGACCCGGTTGGAGAAGCTTTCTCTGTCGCCCGCCTACTTCGTACAATATCGCTCAGTTGTCTGCGAAGGGGTGGAACGAGTGGCCTGAGACTCGCAGATTGATCCCGGTCGGCCACGGCTCGACCTGTACCGAATTCTGCAGCGCCTGCTAACGATACCTCCACAGGTACATACATGGGAGCGAAACATGTAGGTATCTTTGTTCGGCCCCGAGGTACCCACGGCTAGCTGTTTATCATCGAGTTCCAGTGTTTGAAGACTGTCTACAGTAGGTATGGTTGCCTGGTCTGGAGAAGCTTGAATAGCCACTGGACGTTGAAGGCTACAGCTTGTGCAACCATCATTTCATTGTTGAAGCAAAGCTGGAGGTAGGTGTACTTACCTACCTACAGGTACTTCGTAGATACCTAGATACCTATGTACCTACCTATAGGTATGTACGCAGATGCGGTGCGGTCCGCAGTTCACTGGCTGCACTAGCGCAGTGTACCTCACTAGGTACTGTGTAGGTACCTCTACTACTTCAAGTTCTTACCCATTGTATATACAGGTATGCCCTGCATCATGTATTTTCTGCAGGAAGAGATACCTACTAAGTACCTAAATATGTAGCTCCCAGTCTGCTCTCAGATATGCCCGACAACTAAAACTCGCTGTACTAGGTAAGTATTCTAGATACCTTACTGACCCTGTCCTATCAGGGTCAAATACTATGTAGTGTCACCGTGTCACTGTTACTATCTACTTCGTATGTACAGTACTCCGTAATATTTACCTACATAGGTAGTCATACGAAGTATGTATGTATTCACTTACGCGTGGACGGAAATGTTTCCTTCTTACTTACAGCATACCTACCTAACCTACCTCTAATATTAAAGGCAAAGGCCGTTTCACTGAGCGCCGTAGCGCACAAGCTACCTCGCGTATTCTATCCCACCAGGACTCTTGGAAACATCAACCACTTCGTAATGACTGTACTAAGTAAGCAGTTACTAAATCGAATAATTTGATAGAGCAAAGACGTTAGACGATATGAGATCTGGCTGGCCTTGGGCTTTAGGTTTTCGACTTAGCTAATGTCTTAGTCCGCCGCATTGTGTCTATCTATACAGAGATATGTACAATATGTACAATATGTATAATACGGATAATATAGCTGGTGTCTGGGGGATAGCTATAGTTTCACCGCCGGAAAAGAGAGCGCTTTCCGAACCATATCTTCTATAACACATGACCGCCAGTCTTCTTGGTGGACTTAGTAAAACTACCTTGGTCGGCGACTCGACGGCCGATGACGGGTCAAGACGGGTACCTGTGATGGTGCCTGTCTCCGCGGATCATCAATCAAACCATTATCGTCCAATGTCCGTATTGGTAAGCCACGCAACACGTATCTGCGGTTAGCCATCATATTCCCGGGTTCTGTCCCGGGCATACACCAGCTTACTTACCTGACCATCTTTAGCATGGGCAGAATGGGCAGAATGGGGTACCCCGCCGTGTAGTGTACCGGTACTGTGCCTATAAGCGGTATAAAACATAACCCAGGAATCTGACTCATGTTGCTACATTGAGATGCGCAGCCCTTCTGTCAATGGGGTACCCGTTGGGACGTGGGAACGTGGGAACGTGGGAACGGAGAGCGCCTTCAAACCTGGTTTCGACTCGGTGCTGTCCGATAGATGGTACAGAATGGTAGATCGAGATCGAGACACTTGTCTCCTGCTTAACAATTGTCTATTATATGTGACTCTAGTGCCTAATCTCCGGTCTCGTGCTCGTTGACCGTCTCGACCGTGTCTTCCAAAGCGAAGACGCAGGCTTCTGCAAAGCCCGCCGAGATTGCACGGGTCGAAGCTTACCATGCCCGTCAGTCTACCTAGGTACCTAGTATAGACAGGCCGCATGTTTAAGATTCGTACTAGGGACGGCTGTCAACCTGATTGATACCTACAAGCACTGTCGCCCAAGACTGCAGGACCTCATAAGCTTAAACAACCGTTGCATGGGGATTAAGCTTGTCTGGAGCCTGTAACTGGGTCGCTGGGGGAAAAGATCAAAAGGTGGAAATCTCTGGATGTAGTACCTAGTGTCTATGACTTACAGGCAAAGTTACTAGTGAATTCACAATTAGTAGGCTTCCCTACTCAGACTAACCTCGGCCTAGAAACACTGGGCTCTGATTGGCGCGTACCTGACTAACGGAGCTCTCTCGGTCAATGCCCGGCATTGCGACCACTAAACTAACGCCGCATTTGGCCAGTGAGGCTCAAATGTAAAGAGATATTTACAAACTGTCGTCATAGCACAACGGTCAATCTCCTAGTCGGCCTCTTTTTACGAGCTCTTCCCGCCTTTCCCCTAATTCGTCTTGCTCTAGAATGTATCGAGATTGTTTGATAGCTGTTTTACTTCCCTAGAATCACCTCATCTTCCTGACGTAAAGAGTGACATCACTTCCAAGAATGCGGCTCTGCGCAACCCGAATACCGCCGGCCCAACTCATAGCATCCATACGAACGTTTACAGCGATAGAAGCGCAATCGACGGTCGGGACTCAGTGCTTACGCGTCGGCGGGAGGCGGCAGTATGTGACGAGAATACACAGGTCGCGGCCGAGGAGCCCTGCAAGTCAATGCAGACCCCGCATTCACAGCACTGCCAGCGTGAGACGACCGTTTGCTACTGTCATGTCAAGCCCTGTTGAGACAAGTAAGCCACTTCCTGGAAGGTTTTGCCTCATTGCTTACAACTGGCTACCAGCAGCGCAATCACCCGACGACATTGGGCCCATTCAAGAATATGACAGGCGAGTAGCCGCGGGGCGTCTGCGCGAGGACGAACACCAGCGTGGTATCATTCAGAGTCTGCAGAACCTGCATGATGAACTGGTACATTATAGGGCTCGCCCTGTTGTACACCCAAGTTTCGAGAGTTTGAAGCCGACAAAATCGTTGTTTGGATGGTTAGGATCCAAGACTGTTGCCAAAGTTATACAAGACATCCCTAATAACCTACCGCGTGGACTATATCTGTACGGTGATGTAGGAAGCGGCAAGACTATGCTGATGGATCTTTTCTATGATACACTGCCGAGCGCTGTCAAATCTAAAACGAGGATACACTTTCATAACTTCATGCAGGATGTACATAAGCGGTTGCATCGTATGAAGATGGAGCATGGGAATGATATCGATGCCGTTCCCTTTGTTGCCGCCGACATTGCCGAGCAAGCAAACGTTCTATGCTTCGACGAGTTTCAATGTACCGATGTCGCCGACGCCATGATATTACGGAGACTGCTCGAGTCGCTCATGTCTCATGGCGTAGTTCTCGTCACGACCTCGAACAGACACCCCGACGATCTATATAAAAATGGAATACAGCGAGCTTCTTTTATCCCTGCAATCCAACTCCTAAAAGCTCGCCTTCACGTCATTAATCTCGACTCGCCCACGGATTATCGCAAAATTCCTAGACCACCTTCAGGCGTTTATCACACACCACTTGACAGCCATGCAGCTACGCACATTCAAAAGTGGCTGCACTTCCTAGGCGACCCCGAAAACCCCGAACCTCACCCGGAGACTCAGAAAGTTTGGGGCCGTGAGATCCACGTACCACGTGTCAGTGGGCGCTGTGCCTGGTTCACCTTCCAAGAATTGATTGGTCGTGCGACTGGTGCAGCTGACTACATCGAGTTGATGCGCAGCTACGACGCCTTTATCGTGTCTGACATACCGGGAATGACGTATCGCGAGCGCGACCTTGCAAGGCGGTTCATAACATTCATCGATGCAGTCTACGAATCACACGCTAAACTAGTACTTACAACAGCTGTACCATTGACCCAGCTGTTCGTGTCGCCCGAAGAGCTCGAACAATCCCTGAAAAACAAATCAGCCGATGGCGAAAACGGCGACTTTGTCGGCCAAGCCGTGCAAGACGCGACGGAAAACTTGGATGCCAACATAGACAAGCTGGAGGACTCGGACTTGTTCTCCGGCGACGAAGAACGGTTTGCTTTCACGCGCGCGCTGTCTCGGCTGAGCGAGATGTCGAGCAAAGAGTGGGTTGAACGCGGCATGGGGCTCGAGAGCAAAGGGGGCAAGAAGGAAAAGGATGAATGGGCCAAAGTACGGAGTCGACAAATGGAGGATAGCATGTAGACGGATAGGCAAGCGTAACTCTCGTCGCTTCAGGTCGCATCATGCGCAATGCCACATTCAGCTTTTAACGAAATCTTTTTTTTACCTGGGGGCCATTGGTTATATCATTTGAGGCATTTGCATATGAATTATTAAGGCAACGGGGTATAGACAATATAAACCTTTTATAGACCATATACCATTCCGATTACATCGTGACAAAATTGACAAGATTCATCAAAATAGTTCATGCAGGCGACGTCGAGGCGTCTAGCGATGACAAAGTGTAATTATACGTATTCGCACTATCGAATTGTACATGAGCGAGGCTACTCGTCACTTCAGCCCTTCGATATTTGTGTGTTCTTGGAGCCAAAGTTTTGCCATGCTCTGCTCCACTGGTGACGAAGGCGGCGTCGTCCACACCGAGATGTGTGAGGCCAAGCCGTTATAGATCGCGCTAAGACTTAGAGTGTCGCTTCTTGGGCGAAATCCTGCAATAATAACACTTAGAACCGTGTCTAGCCTAGCCTGGTCATACATTTAGAAGTCGATGTGCAGTGTAATGCAAAACATCAGCGTTGCTAATAAATACATATACAATTCCAATGGGTGTGATTGCCGGGCATTTACATACATAGCATACTATTACTACATAGACACATACATGTGTGGCATCTTGTATTAGTAGAACGGACATAGACTTAATGTACCTGCATTTAGCGGCAGCATCTCGCATGTAGACCGTCCTAGACCTCACGTGGTGTTGTCTCGAACTCTGGACTAGGACATCCCAGTCCCCAAACAAGTCTGTAGTCATGCCCAGAGAGCTTTCCCAAGCCGAGTTAGTAGGAACAGTCTGTCTCACCGTTGCGAAAAGCCCAGAATGTTGATGTGGGACGTGGGAACCGGACATGTTTGTTCGATCCGCTATCCACGATGCCGGGAACCACTACTTAACCTATTAACGACTATCGCGCCTGCACAAGTGCGTGTACATATAAACGTGGAGTCCTGCAAGTCGGCAAGCCCCCATTATCCGTACTATCGGATCTATGCTAAATTAGAAGTAGATAAACTATATTTTGTGTGCGCATAGGGTTCGAGGGAGTGGCGAATCAGACATGTATTCTTGCGTCGCTTGACGTACATCATGATCGCCAGTTGATCCCGTTGCCACTCGCTTGCTCTTCAGTCTCGACAACTACCGCGCGTGCCAAAACTGGCTTTCTAATGCTGGCTTGCTGGCTGGCCAGATTCACGCAATGTTCAAGCTAAGCCGGGGGCATTGGCGGCGAACGTTAGTCAGGGGTTAGCGCTTGGGAAACATTTCGTCCGACTTTCAGCTTGACCGATCTATTTGACGACGGACGGGTCTGGGACGGGCTAGCCTTGCGCTACGGTATGGTGGATACAGCGAACTTAATCATGAGCAAGCTAGACTTGTGCTCGCTTGTCTACTGCTACCGTATTGCGATTTGGTATCACAGCCTATTGCGGTCAGGAATTTGGACTCCGGAGTAGTCGTGAATAAACAATTGATAAGTCTTTGTTAGCCGTTCGGCGTACGAGACTAGCTTTGATATCAACATCTAGAGCTACCGGTATTTGGTCTGCTACATGTAGTTCCTTCGGAATATTTATTTATTAACCGTGTTGATGCCCGCGAGTTGGCTATCCATATACCTATCGTGTTTTCCGTCTCGAGTATTGGTTTCACTGGTTTCTGTAGCCGAAATTTCTACTGCGTAGTATCTCCCTAGGACGGTGCCAATATCATACGATCATATAATAAACCTACTACTATACAGATTTTACATTCATGGGCCGTCTAACCATTATTGCGTCGCTCGCCGGCGCCATCTGGGCCTCTGCCGCTGTTGCTGAAGAAATCTGCACAACAGAGCAGGCACCTAATCTGCTGGTGAACCCTTCATGGGAAGACGGTCTCAGTGGTTGGCTGTATAATTTCCCCGGTGGTACCAGTTCACTCAGTTCCGCTGTTGCTAGCGATGGGCAGACTTCTCTGTGAGATTGATTCCCCCTACCATCCACCAGACATCGCAAGAGAACTGACAGACCATTGTTTAGGCTTCTCCCATCCTCTGCGTCCTACAGTTTGATGCAACAGACTGTGAACAACCTTGTGGTTGGCGAGACATACACCGCCTCGATTGACTTTCAGGGTATCGTGAACTCAAATTATGCAATCACGGAACAATGCATTATTTACTTCTATCACGATGCCCTCACCACCACCAACCTCTTTCAATCTAAGGTGCAACCGTTCAACCGCGCCATCGGCTTTTCGTGGCAGACATTTAGCGGTACCTACACAGCAACAAGCAATACTATGTCATTGGGCTTCTATGCTTCTTGTACGCCGTACAGGTCGCCAGTGATCTTCAATGCGTATCTCGATAATGCATCTCTTCGGGGTACGTTCACTATAGCACCACCCCCTTACCATCATCATCCGATGCTCTTGAAAATAGACATACTAGATATAACAGAGAATTGACGCGAACAAAATGCTAGGGCCCCCAACTACTGTCTGTGTAACGCCCACTCCTAGCGAAACGCCAACACCAACGCCGACGCCAACTCCAATTGATACTCCAAGTGATACACCATCACCAGAACCCACGCCTTCATCAACCCCAGCATCATCGTCTATCCCGGCCTCGCCATCATCAACTCCAGCTTCCTCATCTATCCCAGCTTCGCCATCGTCGACTCCGGCATCATCGTCTATCCCAGCTTCCTCGTCTCTTCCTGTGCCACCATCATCAACACCGGCTTCATCATCTCTCCCAGTGCCACCATCGTCAACTCCAGCTTCCTCGTCGCTACCAGTACCACCATCTTCAACCCCAGCTTCATCTCTTCCTATACCACCATCATCGACTCCAGCTTCCTCGTACCCAGCACTACCATCTTCGACGCCGGTATCATCTTCTCTCCCAATACCGCCATCATCAACTCCAGCTTCGTCATTCCCGGTTCCACCATCGTCAACTCCAGCTTCCTCGTCGCTACCAGTACCACCGTCGTCGACTCCGGCATCATCACAACCGGCGCCACCATCTTCAACCCCCGCTTCATCTCTTCCAGCACCGCCGTCATCCACGCCGGCTTCTTCCCTCCCAATACCATCATCCACTCCAGCTTCATCATTCCCAACCCCATCATCGTCAGCTCCAGCTTCATCTCTTCCAACACCACCATCATCTACGCCAGCTTCATCTCTACCGGTACCGCCGTTTTCGACTCCAGCTTCCTCATACCCAGCACTACCATCTTCGACTCCAGCTTCGTCATTGCCGGCTCCGTCATCGTCAATTCCAGCTTCGTCTCTCCCGGTACCTCCGTTTTCGACTCCAGCTTCGTCTTTTCCAGCATCGCCCTCATCCACCCCGGCTTCATCTCTCCCGGCATCATCATCTCTACCGTTGCCTCCGTCATCAATACCTTCGATTTCGCTTCCGGTGCCTCCGTCTAACACTCCTTCCGTTCCCCCGGTTTCCAGCCACCCAGCTTCATCAGCCCTTCCTTCTTCGTCTCATATTGTCTTGCCTTCCAGCTATCCTGCTTCAAGCCAGCCCTCAAGCGCCCCAGCTGCTTCACCTTCAGGCTTGCCCACGCCTAGCACGTCTGCATCTGCGTCTATCTCTGTTCCTCCCACTTCCAGCTACCCGGTGTCTTCTTCATACCCCCATTCCAGCTACCAGGCATCCTCGGTAATTCCCAGTTTATCTTATAGCGCACGGCCTTCAAGCACCCCAGTTGCTTCGCCTTCGGACTTGCCCACGCCTAGCCCGTCTGCATCTACGTCTATCTCTATTCCTCCGACTTCCAGCTACCAGGTGTCCTCAGCAACTCCCAGTTTATCTTATAGTGTGCGGCCTTCAAGTACCCCAGTTATTTCGCCTTCAGGTTTACCTACGCCTAGTCCGTCTAGATCTGCATCGGTCTCTATTCCTCCAGCTTCCAACTACCCTGTATCTTCTTCATACCCCCATTCTAGCTACCAGGCATCCTCAGCAATTCCCAGTTTATCTTACAGCGTGCGGCCTTCAAGCACTCCGGCCGCTTCGCCACCAAGCTCGTCTTCATCCAGCTCTCCGGGGCCGGTCTATCCTGACTCAACGTACAGTGCTCTGCCAACGCCATACCCGACAGGGAAACCATGCAAGAGCAGAATCCAAAAGATGAGCAAGAAGAGATTTCGGGCTCTCAGTTAAGGGTCAAAGCCAACCGGAACTGAAACACCAACCACCTAAATCGGTGACGACATATCATCTTCCCTGTATAATATTTCAGCTTAAAATAATGTTTAATGGCTGGTTGGGCAAACTCTGAGTCAACCCTCAGTCTTGATTACCGACACGCAGGGTTCCATTCCCAATGCTCATAACCGCAAGTCGCGCTTTTCACGTGACGATAGAATCGGATGGATAGAATGTACTGATTAGAATAAGGGGTTAGGCAACATTACATGTATTTTATAGAACGTACTGTCTACGGGACAGTTACACAGATAATGTGTTGAATAAAGGGTAGCAAGTACTCTGTACTGTATTAACTCGTCGACCTGATAGTATACCCATTGAATGCTAGGAATTCCGTATACCAGTTATAGTTATAAATTATTACAACGTTGCAAGGACATCCTGGGGAAAACGCCACCGGATCATACCAAACGATAGACAAGGCCGGCCAATGCCGTGCGATACCATGCTCCCGTAGTCCATAGCCGGAGGGTTAGTGGTAATTACAATCGCTATAAATAATGCAAACCAATTCTGGCCCGCAGTGGGTCCCGATTCTCGGTACCGCTTATAGCATCACGATGAAAGCATCACGGACCTACCTACATCCCTAAGGTCAGCAGACCTGCGGTATGGTCTGACACTTCGAGCTCTACCTATCAAGGAGATATGTCACCTATCAGCAAGACGTCAACAAATCACAGTCATAGCCAGACACGGGGCTTCGAAGAGATGGTTGCGCATGTCAAGTTCAGACCTCTGATCTGGCACGAAGGCAGGTAGGTACTCGAGACTAGGCCAACTTGTGATCTTTGCCATTGCATGTGACGACTACTGGGTGTACCTCCTACAATAGCAGCGAGATGCCGGCCCGTGCTCTGGGTGAATACCTACCTTGGGTAAGGGATATGCCACTTGGGCAGAGAGGAATGAAGCAAACAACGCTGGTTGTGTAGGCTAACCATTGTTCACCTCCATCATGCCCATTGTTTACCCATTCCAAAAATTGCAATATAACAAACACGCAAACTGGTGCTGCGTGTGTGGTCTCGTCTTCTATTCCCATTTCTTTCTATCTCTACCCAGGTGGATGGATAGCCCCATTTATTGATTATACTTTCATCATCCTTTTCCTGCCTTGCTCCCGCTCCCTCTTTGCCCTCAGCTACAACTGATCTGGGAATTTATCCTTCGTTACTACAGCCGAGCTTGCGGCTCCTGCCCGTTACACCTAATATCTATGACGCTTTCCCACCCGCTCGCTCTGCCCTTTTGACATGCCGACCTACCTGAGTAACCTGGAGTCAAACGATCGATAGCACTGCCGCATGTAACGTGACCCGAATACTCCGACTTTGTGCGACTTGGATTTTCCACTCTCTCGATTCAGTCTATCTTCTCTCCTAGACATCCTGCTTCATATACTTAACTATGCACCATGGGGACTTTGGAAGGGCTGTTCTCGCATTCATCCTCGATTCGCGGCTCGGGGCCTGCGTACTATCTGCCGCCGACACATAACAAAGGTTCCAGTGATTTAACCCCCGATTTGAATATTTCCATATCTGAAAGTCAGTATATCGGAGCAGGCATGTCATACCACCGGCCCTTGGCTCTGTTGCTCCGCCCTTCGCCCAGGAGACTTTCCCTTTTTTCGATGATAGTCTTCTGCGTCTTCATTATGATAATCACGGGAGTTTCGAGGGCACAGCATTGTTTTACAAGGGAAGACAACAAAGTACCTTACCATTGGGAGGCGTTTCCCGGGTAAGAGGCTCAAGAAGCACTCAATGCCGGTTCGGCACGCTGAATACATCTGGCTAACATGACGCCTGCAAGGTTAAATGGATTCTACAATGGGATTCAAACGCTCGTAACCTTTGCGGATTGGGTTTCAGAACAGAGATCACCACCAGGAGCCGAAATCAAGGCCCACGATCAGCCGCCATTTAACCCACAAGTGGTTGATCCATTTCCCAATTTCACCTCTGAGAAGTATCTAAAGCAACACCATCCTGTACGTCCCTGTTACTTGGACGACGACGAAAGATACCCAGCTCCAGATATATATGCATACCCCGGCGTCCCCGCCAAATTACCCGCCCCGGCTTGGGGAGCCTACGATACGTTAGAGATTGCCCCAGACCGATGTTATGAACGATTTGGGCGCTTTGGTTCATACGGTTACAGCTATGGTCGCGAGGAAGGTGGCCTAGGCCTTTCGAAGAATTCTGAAAACCTAGGGACGGAGAAGGTGCAGATGATGATCAACAAAGTCGACTACCGCAAGGTGAACTGGGGTAGAGCCCAGAAGCGCTGCTTCGATAAAAATAAGAAACGTTTTGATAGGAAGAATGACGCATCTGAGGAGTCTAATAACAAGAAAAAGAGGTTACCGCGCTCAGCTTTGGTACTTCGTACGTGGACGGGATATGAGTACAGCGATATCCAACTCCTTACCATGAGAGCTATGATCAATGAGTTGTCTCTCAAATCTGGTGGTGAGTATGATGTGCACTTGCTTGTTCATGTCAAGGATAACAGTCTCCCGATATGGGCATCCGAGGAAATTTATGACCGAACGCTCAGGGAAAATGTGCCCGAGGAATTCTGGGACATTGCGACGCTATGGTCAGAGCAACAGATGAAAACCTACTACCCTGGCCCGTTCCTCGACGAGGATAACATAGCCAATCATGCAGGTGCCTATATTTACGGCGTTTACCGAGCTGCGCATTTCGCCTTGCAATGGTTTTCTCAGCAACACCAGGAATATGACTTCATTTGGAATTGGGAGATGGATTTACGCTACGTCGGCCATTATTATGAGTTTCTCAACGGCGCATCGAACTGGGCAGCAAAGCAGCCTCGAAAATATATGTGGGAGCGTAACTCACGATTCTGGATCCCAGAGTATCACGGACCCTGGCCCCAGTTTTGTGGCCTTGTTGAGAATGAAACTATAGCAGAAGGAGAGACACCTGTTTGGGGCCCTATAGCATTTCCAGCTGGCAAATACGGGGTCCTACCACCGCTCAATGATGTGAAGCCGCCAACTCCGGTCGAAGAAGACGACTATGAGTGGGGTGTGGGCGAGGCCGCGGACTTGATCACGTTTGATCCCATCTTCGACCCGTCGAAGACTAAATGGGTGTTTCGGAATGACGTTACGGGTTACGATACTGCGGTCGATGCCCCTCCACGACGGGCCTCTATCGTTACTGCTGCGCGTCTGTCGAGGCGGCTGTTGAACACAATGCATGAGGAAACGTGGCGTGTACACCGTGAGTAAACCTAAACACTCTTTTCAACTATGTTCTACCTCGGAGGGGCGGCCGATATTTACTACCTACGTGAAAGCTCTTTTTCGAGCTGACGATATTTACACGAAGAGTCTCATTGATTTCAAGCTTTGCTAACATCGTAGCCTTATAGACACGATGTTCCCTGAAATGTGGGCAACAAGTAGTATGTTTACCCCTGGACTGATTTTCTTGGTATCCCAGCCGCCTGTAAAGACCACAAGTGCCTGTTAGGGCCACAAGCATATCTCAGGAGTATACAGACCTCTAGAAACCCGGTCCCGTTTTACCTTAGAAGAGCAGCTACTAACTTCAGCGAACTTTAGTCGCATATCACCACGGATACAAGGCTCTATATGCACCGCACCCAGTCTATCTTGATAGGGACTGGCCTTTGGACGTGCTTGACAAGACGTTCAACAAACCCCTAACACCGGAAGACAGCCCCTTTGCAGGCCAGGGCGAACACAATATGCAGGGAAGCACCTTCTACTACAACTCGGGATTCAGTGGCGCGCTTTGGCGGCGTTGGCTAGGTGCCTTTGAGAATGGGGAGGGGGGCCGCAAGACCGAAGAGGAGGGGACATCTCGAATGTGTCTCCGACCACTATTACACCACCCTATAAAACATGAAGCTGTGGAGTAAGTGTGTTTTGTTTCGAATTTTCGCCATAGAATAAAGTGCATGGGTGTCGGTGTCCCGGTGCGCAAGCGTTGTTTGCCTTTTGTGTGTATGTGTTGGTAGCTTGTTGGGTGCCCATGAAACTGGCCTTCCCTCTCTGCATATAGACAGCATTTCAGCTGGTCATGCTTGTCGCCTTGGCCCACATTATATACTATATTAAAAGCATTTCAGTATGGTAGTTGAAAGGCCTGAACCCATAATGATATGATGGCCCTAAGGCCCAATGGATTGATAAAGGAAATGTCAGAGCAACGAGTATTAGCGACTCATGTTTAAATACCGAAGAATGATACTGTTCTTGTAAACCAAGGCTAGGCGTAACAGTCTACTCGGCAGCTCTACCGCGTTTCTTGGGTGCCGATTGGTGAGAATGATGGTCATATTCACACCCTGCTACTTTGAACCCTATTCAAAATAGAACGCGATAGGAAAATGCTGAAATATTAATGCCTGGATTTACTCACACTACAGCCGCAAAAGGTAGAAAGAGAAAGGGAACACTAGTTCCGGGTTATTCTACTCCAGTATCCTTCATATGGTTTTGCACCTGTATGGGTGCGCAGGTAACAAAATTTACAAAAAATTGAAGGAGTAGGAATTGAACCCAACCCGATTTGAACGGATGACCTTCTGGAGGCAGTTGTTGGCTGGAATCAGATGCTCTACCGCTGAGCTATGGGTCCAGAGATAGTAAATGGGATTGTAATTAGGGTATATCAATTATACAAACTTACTATGTAGAATCGAGAAAACAGTGCGATCATTTACCCCTCACAGTGGGGATTTACCAATTGACTCACAGTAGTACATACATCTTCTACTTCGTACAACAGGCTAACCTAAGTTCGTTACAATAGTGCTAGAATAAGATCATCTCATAGCAAGCAGGATACTATCATCTGCGAGTTCCCGTTTTCTAATGTTTCTATTTCTACGGTTTTAAGTGTAAATAGGAAAAAAATCAGTACCCGTCTTGTCTGCATGCCAATGGAACACGTCTTGATGAGCAAGTCGGCGAGAATAACATCGAAGAATGTACATTAGCAAAGATTGGGTAGCCTCGCCTTGGTAAGCCCAAAGATTGTCTATGAAACGTCATCAAGACCTGCGCGCTACCCGGGCGGAAGGAATTGTATGCGTGTGATATAACATTCGGAATGATAGTGAGTGAGTGAGTGAGTGTGTGAGGATGCCGAGATCGGCGCGTACTCCAAAAAGGTAAAACGTGAGCCTGTATGTATTATGATAAACAACGTCATCCCCCCTCAAAAGAGCCCCGGTAGCTCGTTGTCTTTCTAGGAAATACGTATGATCACTAATGGAACACGATGAGCAGTCAAACTGAGAGCACTTCATTACGGGAGTTGTCGGCACCTGACAATCGCCTTGAACCAGTCACGAATGCCACCCAGGGCGACGGCGATGGCGGTGGTGATGAGTCCGGGATATTGGCGATGACGTCTGATCCCCGCCAGACAGAAGCCAGCAGGAAGAGAGCTCTGATTCTCCTGGGTGCCTCTATTTCGCAATTACCAATATGGGGTGAGTCGAGTCTGAGATATTCTCGTTCCCATGCACACTCATTTCAGAATTGCCTTCCCTACGTATACTTACTTACCTATATATATATATGCTCTGACAGATTTTACTAACAGAGCCCCGTAGGATTCTCCATGAGCTACGGTGTGTTCCAGGAATACTACCTAAACAACTGGACTCTCGCCGGTAGCCGTGACGCGACAGGTATCATAGGCACAACCTCGAACGGCGTCGTGTACCTCTCCATTCCGTTCCTCTCGGCCCTATTCACGCGCCGCTGGGCCAGACATCGCCGAACGGCCGCCGTGGCAGGGACCTTGCTCGCGGCCCTCAGCTTTGCTCTATCGTCATTGAGCGCGCATGTCTGGCACCTTGTTGCCACTCAGGGCGTGTTGGCTGCCATTGGCTCCGCCCTCGTGTATAGTCCTACGACGCTGTCGCTGGGCGAATGGTTTAGTTCTGACGCGGGGAGAAAAAATCACCGCGCTGTGGCGTACGGTGTCACGCTCTCGTGCAAGAACGTCGTTGGATCGGTCATGCCGTTCCTTGCGCGCGCGTTGCTGGAGAATTATGGCTTTCGTGTCGCGGTGCGTATTTGGGCTGCTGTGGCGCTGGGGACGAGTTGTAAGTAGATCCGAACCCCTTGATGATTTCTTTCTCTCCTTTTCCGGCGCATCCCAAAAGCATGGAGGTTTCTTTGCTTCTTTCCAGGGTCAATGTTTCAGAAATAGCTGCACTTTTCGAACGGAGGCTGTTAAACATGGCGAGTATTCTCGCACTGACTTTGCAAAATTACCCACAGTACTATCCATCTTTCTTATTCCTACGCATCCCAATGTTCTCGCGAGCACCTCCGAAGAAGAAGAGGGTTACCGCAGACGTTATATCCCCTGGAACTTCCTGCGTCACCGCACATTCTACGTCTACGCTATTGCCATCATCCTCCAGAGCGCAGGATACGGCATCCCCCAATCGTATCTTCCGACGTACGCGCGTGAGGTGACGCAGCTCTCGCAGACGTCCGCCACGCTCTTACTCACCGTGTTCAACATCCCTGGTATCCTGGCTTCATCGCTATTCGGGTATCTAAGTGACAACAGGTACTTCCCCCTATCCGCTACCACCGTGACTGCCATCTCGGCACTGTGTTCGGCGCTCGCGGCCTTCTTGCTCTGGGGCCTTACTTCCCAAGGCAGCTTGACGCTCTTGCTTCTATTCTCCATCACCTTTGGATTCTTCGCGGGCGGGTACAGTGCTACCTGGGGCGGAGTGATCAACGAGCTAGAGAGCGAAGCCGCACGGTGGAACGAGGCAGTAGACCCAGGCATGCTGTACGGACTGCTTAATGGAGCCCGTGGGATTGGGTATGTCAGTGGCGGCCTGTTGAGCGTCCCGCTCCTGAAGGCTGGAAGTGAAGTCTCGATTGGTGGGCTTGGATATTCCTCGACGTACGGCCCGCTCATACTTTTCACAGGGTTATCCTCTGTCTTTGGTGGCTGGGGAATCCTTTGGAGGTGGACAACGTCTCTTCGTAGACTGTTATGATCTTGTTAGATTTACGGGACACCCCTGCTGCTTGATTTTGTAGCGTGTAGACTCAACCCGACTGCTTCAAGTATTCTATCATAACCCCCGCGCCGAGCCGTCGAGACTCCCAATTGTACAGCAACCCTCAAGTCTTCCTCAGTCAAATGGTAATATAAATCATTTTAGATCACATCCAGAACAGCGAGTTTATCATCAAAGTCAAAGAACAACTGTCTCAAAAAGGCCCAGACCCGCTAGGCAATGTTTTCATTTTATCGCTATATACAAGTTTTGCGAGTCTATTACAACAAAGAGCTACCTGTCTTTATCCAAGTTAGTAACCCCGTCGTCGCCCCATCAGGCTATCCCTCTGTGGGCTCAAACCGCGACCCCAAAGCGTCATCGTCTGACCCTCTTTGCACTTCGTCGTAGGCGGCATCTTCATAACTACACTCCAACTTCCCGACGCACACTGTTGATAGGATGTGCCGCCAATACAGTTGAACATGCCCTCTGTTTTACAGGGGCCTGTAAGGCCTTGAGCGCTGCCAGAGCCGGGGGTCGGCGAACCGCTAGGTCCAGCAGGGGCGCTAGAAGCGTGCGAAGGCGAGGGAGATGCTGTCGCGGTTCTGGTATGAACGGCCGATGAAGAGGTCGTTACAGCTGCTGAGGAGGTCGTGGCCGTGGGTGCTGGGAGTGTAGATGTATCGATGGTCAATGTTACGAAGGTAGAGGGGACATCAGTATCTGAGGCGATAGCGGATGTCTGAGCAGGGACGGATGGCGACCCTCCGTCTGAGGGAACTGCTTTAACGCCCTTAGGGACGCAGTTAGAACCAGATATAGGCGCAAATTTGTTATTGGAACCGGGCTTGATGACGTTGGGACCTGGCACCGGGAACTCGGGGTCTGTAGAAAGCTCCGATTTGCAGTCGTTAATATCCGCCAAATTGGCGACCATGAGCTCAGGTAATGCGGAATCATCGCGGCCGAAGAGTTCCATCGTCTCGTTGTGCGATACCTCTCGCTTACCGCTTCCACCGGTAATGGTTACAGGAGCACAGTTCATATAGTACTCTTGGGTACCTGAAAGCTTGGATATCCAGGTCCATGCGAAAACATAATCACCAGGCTCTATTGAATCAGGAACCGTGAAGTCGTACTCGTCTGTGCCAGTTCCGCTCTTGGACGGGCAACCACCTTCGATCGACAGTATTACCTGCCACGAAGTAGAGGCTGAAGGTTGAGTGTCTTTAGTAAGTGCCAATTGACACGAACCGCCACCGTGAACAGCAGAGCCTTCGAAAGATAGCTTCTGAGGTTGGCCGATTACCATCTTGTTGTCGAGGCCGTCTTTACTGTAAAACTTGGCCGGGTCCGAGCCTACTTGGCAGGGGAAGTTGGCACTTGTTAATGGTGACGAGGTAATTGACTTGGTGCTGCCCACGGAGCCGAACGGAGCCGGGCTTTTCATGATAATGTGACCGTTGATGCCGGCGGCGAAGGCCGTCAGGGCGGTCAAAATTCGTGTCTGCATGATGTCGTTGAGGATTAAACAGAAGATCTATGTAAACGATGCTATAACAAGACTGGGAGAGAAAAGCGTGAGTGCCAGACTCAGCAAAAAGAATCTAAGAAGAGAGTAGGAAAGGGTTGTTGACGAAGATGGTGATGAGGGAAGAAATGATGCCTTGGCAGGCGTTGTGCCACTCTCTTATAACCTCAGCGAGGACAAAACGTGACAAAGGGCCAAAAGTCGTAAAGAGGGAGAGAAAGCAAACAAAGTCATTGTTTCGCCCCCTAAAACGGGCCAAACGTTTCCTGTAAGTTGTCATGGCGAAACATGTTTCCTGTGTTCGGATGCATCTAGTCGCGTCTTTCATGGCCATTGTTTCTAGAGACCAGGTGCATCAAGAAACATCGATGAGCACCCTGGGTTCTGCACTGGCGTTGGAATATACGCTGGGCGATTCGAGCAAACGTATTTCAATTGGCTGGAGCGCAGAGACGGCGCTGGTTGATTGGATGGTAAGCCATCGTCACTCAGACAGGAAAGCAAGATCCCTGGCTGATTGGACAAAACGGCTCCCTCTGTTCAGCGCCAGAGTTGCAGGGATCGTCACTAATTGCGGGACTGCTGCCCAGGGCTGTTTCGAAACCTGTCACTCTCAACGGATAGCTAAGCTTACCTTATGTTTGTGGCATCTAGAGAAGCTTTCAGATTCATCTTGAACACCTATGGGCCTGTCATACCTATACCTCCGTTTAGATTGGCAGTCCGTGCTGCGAAACACCGTCGGGCTTTGACCAAATAAACCCAGGTGGCGCGTGGATATCACATCTGATCTGGAGCATTTGGGCGGGGCAAACATCATCTCAGCATTCAGCTACAAAATCCGCCTCCTTGACTGGGAAGTGATAATTGCCACTGAAAATATTCAGTGGTATGATGCTTCCTGTAGGTTATGAACTTTTATTAGTCAAAGACCTAAGTTAAACCTAAAAGGCACGCTTACCTATCGGGCACTTGTTTCTCGTCTAATACAATGCCAAGTGTCTACTGACATTTATTCGACTTGCAAATCTATCTCATCTCAGCTAGGCGGTATGTCTAATTCATTTCTTCTTTTGTTGACCTCTTCAACAGCTCCAGATGGATCTGTTGCGTTAGGATGACGGAGTTGCCAAGCAACACAAAACTCCAGTGCTCCCATCATCCACTTGCCCGGCTTAACACCCAAGGCCTTAGCAAGCTGGGTACCGTCAATGAGTTTCTTCATTGAAGGAGCATCCATGACGTCTAATTCTCGAAGATGATCTATGAATAACTGCCACTCGCCCAAGAAATTGTCATTGTTTTCTGTGGAAAGGTTAGAATCGGGTCGAGATGGTGGATATTTAGGTAGAATACTGACTGGAGCTTGTACTGCTGGCCTCCCAACGCTGCATCGCCTCGACAAGAAGGCTGAACAGGACCTGGAGCTGCCAGTAGCCTCCTCTGGCATCCCAGTGTCGTATAGCCATACCGAACCGATCACGCTCGTTGATACAAGATTCTTTTTGAACGACCGCGGTTTTCAGAGCAAGGATATCTGCTTTATTTTTGTGTGCTGCAGTGACAACGTCGCATAGCCTATTCGGGGCTTTTATCCCCTCACGTGCCGCCAAAGTAATAAGTGGAGGTGGAGGTTTTCCTTTGCCGTTACGTTTAGGTTCGTCGGCGAGCTCCCAGGGAGCGAGCGCAGCCAGCGTCCAGGCGTAATATGAAGCCTCCTCAGTCTGGACGAGGGCCGTCGAGATAGATTCGTGCGCCTCATTACTGGACAGGTAACTGAGGCATTCGTAGACAGTATGCCACCGAGATAGATCAGGTAAGGGCATACTTGACTTAGAGGGGTCCGTGAAGATGGTGTGATACAGACCCAAGTCATTGATATATTGTAGCGCTCTCCTAGGGTCATTTCCTATGAATTATTAGATTTGTGAGGATTTGGCTCTTCTGATTTACTTGTACCTTTTAACATTTTTTCAATTTCCACGCCCACCCGCTCACGGCTGATTTTCAGCTTGAGAGCCTCAAGTACCTTCACATCACTCATGCACTCCTCAGCTGCACGATCGATCGTGAATCCTAGTCGACTAGCGAACCGAATAAGTCGTAAAACCCGTAAAGGGTCATCCATAAATGTTTGAAATGGTTCCAGTGGAGTTTTGATCAGCTTGGCCTTCATATCTTTGAGCCCGCTCGTGAAGTCTTCGACCCTGCCTGTGTTGAGGTTATAGAATAAGGCATTGACAGTGGCGTCTCTACGTAGCGCATCTTCTTCGGCGGTGCCAAACTCCATCTGTGGGTTGCGACTGTCCTCGGTATAGGTCTCCTTACGTAGGTTGACAAAGTCAACGTCAAACCCGAAGAGCATGATGGTAGTCGTCTCAAGATGCTTCGACTTGTCTGGGTTCTTTGCAATTTTATGCAAGCTGCCTATGTCGGCACTGGTAATTCGATGCTTCTCTGCTATCTCAGGCTTCTCGCAAAGCTCGCATATCTTTAAAGCAAAGGCTTCGCCAGTCATAGTATTAACAGCTGTATCAATGTCATGGGACTCAATGCCAAGTAGCTTGTCGCGAACCCAACCGCCGGCCCATCGCAGGATGACGGGTTGGGCTGATGGCTGTGAATTGTTGACATATTTGGCAGTATCAAGAAGCAAGTCTTTGAGTTGATCCTCCTTCTGTGTGAGCTCAATTGTGGTGGTTGCTGGCTGCGCAGACATCTTTCTTATCTGATGCGGCCGTCGGGTATCTGGGGTAGCTTCCAGGACTCCTAGTTTCCTCTTGGACATGAGAGGAATGGGACGGTATGAAAGAAACGAACCAGAGAATATCAGTCTTTTCTGTCGGCTGCTTATGATGAGGCGGGGTGAAACGGGCATGGAAACATCTGTGAGTCAACCCGTGAGTCAACAAAGAATTGGAGAAGATGCGATTCCAATGTGAGAGAAGGACGAACTTCAGCAGCGATAAACAGACTATTTCTGGCGCTGCATGTAGTGAGGCTATTCTCTTCTTGTAATTAGACACAGTTTTGATTGATTGTATGCTTAGACTCGTCGATCTGATCTCTGTGGGAATTTCGTATACCGGTATATGTATGGTCGTGATGAATGTATATTTGCCTGTTTGTCATATCTGCATGCCCAGTCTCGACACTGCCATGCCAGGTGCCACCAACTGCGACGTCATCGGCCTACTCGCCATTCTACTACCATAGTAAAGTAAGGTGTTCTTCCTGGATTAAATGTTTTGGATTGCCTGCGAATTGTATTTTGCATGATATAAGTATTATATGGAAACATATGCTAAGGCGCTTAAAAACATCTACGTACCTGGGTCTGTGAATTACGACGGAAAACCAAACAGATTCCCCCAATGGTACATTACTCAGCCAAAGTTTCTGGGCGCATCAGTCTGCCCAAGAGGCACTTTAATTCCCACTTGAAACAGCCCATGCCAGGAGTTCCTGCAAAAATGTTAATGAATACTGCTTTCCCGCAGGGCCAAACCCACGCTGATCTGAATTGGTAATCTGACGTTACTCTACCTATTAGACATGGGGCTGGCTTGTTGAGGGTATTCTGGATAATTGCAGTTGCAACTAAAGTCAATGAGATGGCCCTTCACAACCATGAACCCAAAAGTCTAGATCTAACATCATCTTCTCCATAATAATATAAGACAGACCCAAGGTACGGTGTCACTTGCTATCGCCGGCAAAGTTCGCGAGATTCGGGTGCTGACGAAGCGAGAACTCCCAAATCTGCGAACCCTGTCCATCCAGGTGCATATGAATACTTGTTATAGCAATGATCAGCATAGCGATATCCAATCAATATCTGCTCTCCACGATTCGCATCTTCAACGGGCTGTAGATCTGATACAAGCCCGAGGATGATCAACACTGTGCTTCCTACATGAGGTACTCGATTGATACGCAGGTGAGTCGATACTACCAATCTGCGTTCTAACCCAGCGAGCCCCAGGGCGTTCATACATGTTTGCCCGTATCTGCCCGTAAATACTGTACGCTGGCTGCAAACACAGCTGAGGGTGGTTAATTATCAAGTATCAAATGACGTCACAAGATTGGGAGCGTCAAGCCACCATGACATAATATCCATAGCGCTAAGCGAGGTGTGACCCGGACGATCACAACGTATATGTACAGTAGGCGAAAGGTAATGTCTTTTGTCGAGTCAGGCTAGCACCGCCATCGTAGGTGGTGTCAGGTTAGAGATGAAGACTGCGGTATATGAGAGACCTTCGCGGTGGAAGTGGTAGGAAAGAACTACATACATGTAATGCTTGAACGTTCAACCACTATTACAGACCATCTGGGCAGAATCTGGGGTAAAGGGATGCTAAAGCTTAGGCAAGGTAAGCTCCTAATGCCAATGGCCCACGATCAATAGCATACTGTGGGAGGGAGGCAGAGTGGGACAAGACTGATCCTGTGATAGATGCCTGTCTACCCATACATGTCGTAGCACCCTCGGCACCCTCAAATGAAGATTACAAAATGAACACCAGACAATCAAGCTCGAAGCTACCCGGCACAGACCCGTAGTACTAGGCTAGGTCTGACTAGGTCGTACAGTTGACTACTGCAGTATCTGTGCAGTAGAAAGCGGGCAGAAAGCGGGGGAGGGGCAGAGGGGCAGAGGAGCGGATGAGAAAGGGCCAAAAGAGACACTACATGTATGGATGTAGATGGCTCTCACAAACGACATCCGTCCTCTGACTGTTCTCTGATCCGTCTCTGTCGGTCCTTGGACCATCTGAGATGTAGTGCAACGCCTACACTGTGATTGGGCGATCCATGCATGGACAACGATGGCTTTCCTAGTCTTGGACTCCTGCGCCGGGGAGGATGGGCCTATCACGGTGGGCTCGACAAACGGCCATCACATCGGTGCATCAAAGTGGCCGCGGTCGATGCCCTGCTGTTTGCTGCCTGGCTTGACACTGGCTGGACGCCTCTCGAGCTCTCAGATTCCTCTGCATCCTTTGTATGGCTGGTACATGGCATCACCCTGCACTGCCCCAGCCCCTCCAAACCTTTGGTCAGAGACCTTGGTGTCTAGCCTCTTGGCTACCTATCAGCATCATGGGCATCTCCTGGCTTGGCCAATCGGCCGTTGAACGCCAGCGGGAGGCAACCAACGCATCGAAAATGATGGGAGGAGGCAGCAGTGGGAAGGACAGGAGAAGACCACAGTACTCCCGGTATGGCTGTTCAAGCAGATGGGACGATGCATGTATCATTATGCAGACTACCAGGCAGGTTTGGTACTTGGTTTGGAGCAAATGGAGAGATGTAGACCGAGGGCGGAAGGACAAAGCAGAATCTCTCAAAGGAGATAAAGCCAGTACCTAGGTACCTACTACTAGGTAAAGTTAGTAGTCGACATAGTAAGTAGGTATATATATACACCTAATAGTAGGCGAGTAGGCAGGTGTCTGGTACCTAGGTGTGCGTATGCAGCCAGGGACCGAACCATATGATCACCACACAGTACATATCTAACCTTAGGTAGTATGCGCATACCTATCCACACGTACATTCACACATGTGCCCAAGTAAGTAAGTACTTACATTAGCTAGGTACATAGAGGTGGATACGTAGCAGTGAACATTCGACTACCTCTTACATACCGGTAGCTCGATAAGCCACCACCACGTACTACGTACAGAGCTCATTTCCTCAGCAGATATTAGTAGATACCAGTAATAACCAGCTCCTAGGAAGTAATAATTCAAGGTAATAATAATAATAAGAATAAGAAGTCGAAGAATGCAACCAGCTACAGGCGTCTAGGTCTAGCTGAGGCCGTATAAAAACAAGCGTCGACCACCCTGTCTTGTTGATCCCAAACGTCTTTGTTCTCTGTCCTCTGCTTCTTTGCCACCGCAAGCACGAATCAACTCAAACTATATCACCTGCCGCAATTAGTGTCAGGTTCAACGTCATCTAGCCCAAGTGAGTCGCTGCTTAGAACACCAGATCGGCGTGGCCTTTATACTGCGCACCTTCCCGTATTCTCGAGCAGGTACAATATCAAAAACTATCACTCCCTCCTTTCACATCACATCGAAAGAGAACGAGCTACCACCTATTTCCCATCGTCATCACCGTTATCACCATCATTATCAACATCAGCCCAGTTATCACTATCAACCCTAGACAGAATTCCGCGCACATTTTCAGTATTTCTAGCTCGATACCCGTCAAGGAACGAGGATCGAACATTGTCATAGCCACATCATAACCGGCCAATTCAGATATCTGTTCGTCCCCCCCCCCTTAGCAGAGGAACCACGACATTACAATATTTTGATTTGCTTGTTACTGACATGAATATCGAGATAGGAACATCCAAAGTATTGTAACCATGACCAACGTCGAGCAACCTCAATTCAACGACACCCTAGGGTCAAACTCGCCGCCGCTGGACCGCCAACGCACCAACTCACGAGATTACACGCACACGGACGAATGGGGTGAGCTTTTCTCTCTTTTTTCTTTTTCTTTCTCGCAACTACTTCCCTATTCAGTCACCTACACCGTATATGCTCCAACTTCTTCGACTCAATCTTCCGTGTTCTAATCAACAGTCTGCCTTCCAATTCGTTCCCCCCCGCCATCTCCAAATATTCTTCACCCACCCCATCTCCAACACAACATCCGCATAAACAGCAAATGCAGAGGTAAACTAACATGGGGGAAAATTAGATGCCTCCAAGACACCCCCATCTCGCTTCCAGAAGCGCAAGGGCAGCATCTACGCCACGCCCTCGTCCCGCGACGGCCACGTGGAGCGCAACCGCGACGCCGTCGAGGAGTTCCACAAGGCGCATTCGAAGCGATGGTCCATCGGCAGCTCCAAGAGCGGCGGGACCGCCGCCGACCCGACTTCACCCGTCCAGCAGAGACGGAAGTCCTCTGCTAGCAACAGTGGCAACGCAGCCTAGTTCGCAAGTTGCGGTGCCCTTCTGCCTTATGCTGACTGCCGCCACCGCGCGGTAAAATGAGCTGCATTAGAAGAGAATTGGAAAAATGAAACACAAAATAGCCAGAAGAACTCGCCGATTCTATCACCCTCTTCCTTTGCGAGACACAGTTCATTTCTGAAAGAAAGATACAGTACACCCTCTTGATGTTAATTTTTTTCTTCTCTTTTCTCTTTTCTTTCCTCTCCTGATTGCACTATTCCATGCTCGCGACGGAGATATCGGGCGATGACGACAGGAATACGTGGGGAAAGTGTATTAGAGTTTCCGGATTTGGAATCGTGGATATACTATGATTGGAGTATACGCGAGGGACTTGGGCAGGGGACAGACGACCACAAGAAGGAAAGAGAGATTGTTTTCGATGTTGCTTGATGATGAGTATGGCTGTCGTTCGATTCTTCTCCTGTCGTATGCTTCACTTTTAGGCTGTATTAAGACTGTAACAACGTCTGCTATGAAATGAAACACTACTATTCGTTTAGTTCTTCTTGTACGTTACTATGACCTGTGGGCGCTAATGTAGTGATTAGCTGGTGCTATTGAGGATAAAAAGTCAATGGCACATGCTGCACCACGAATATGTACTAGAGTGGATCAGAATATCCATTGAACATGATTTTTGATCAAGACTGCCCAGTGGTGGAAACTTGCGATTCCTGAAGTATTGTAAATAAAGTCTGAGATAGTAAGGGGTAATATTACTAACCCCAGCCCGTTCAGGCCCCCTGCCATTATGCCAAATGTACATATGGGAACAAAGAAGAAAAAAATCTGTATATTCATTTCAGTCGTCATCCATGCCATCGATGTCAATAGCGTCCGGATTCGATGCTACCGCGGGCTGCTCCTTTGGTAGTGTTCCGGCAATTCCCGTGCTCGAGGCCACAAAACCTGCCGGGGCGCGTGCTTGACGCTCAAGTTGCTCCATGGCATCTCCAACATCCGTGTCCCCATTCGTCTCTGCCACGCGGGCCTGCTGACTGCGCGCAATAGCTTGAGATGCAATGAAATTGACATCGGTATTGTATTGTGCTTGGACACTGCGCTTGATGCGTAACATTTCCTTATAGGTATCCTCGTTGCCATGCTGGACTTCGAACTGCTCCCACTTGGTCCAGAATGCCGGGTTGGTTCGAGGATCACAGAACTGTGAAGCGTGGCCGTAGATAGCACGAGCGCGATCGATCTCGCCAAGACGTTTCTCCATGTCAGCGAATTTTAGACACATGTCTCGAGCCTCTTCATCGGGTAAGGCCGCAATAGCTCTTTCGTAGATCGGCCTGGTAGAAGGAAGTCCAAAGTTGGAGGCGGATTTCGTGATATACAAGTTGAACATGTCCGCACGGTCCTCATCAGAGACTGCCCTTGTTGCTCTCTCATAGATACGCATTGCATGCCGCGCGAGTCCGCGTTCCTCTTCGAGGTTACCATACATGAGATATAGCACCTTAGCAAACTTCTCTGGAACTTCTTCTACGGCCTGTTCGAAGAGGTCGCGTAGTCGCTCGATCCCAATCTTTCGATCGACGGCCTTGGTCAAATACAGGTTCCAAAGCTCGAAGGCAACTGGATAGCTGAAATGGTCCAGCCCTCTCTCAAATATTTTAAAGCACTCTTCATAGTACTTATGTTCCTCCATCAGGTTAGCATAGTTGACTACGGTCTGCGGTGTGGCAATCCTAAGCTCGAATATCCGTTCGTAGATCTTTTTCGTCTCCTCTAAAGAACTGACACTCTCAACTAGGTCCACATAGAAGCTCCATAGCTTCCAATTCTTGTGCACCCGCTGTTGGGGCGAGAGAGTCTCGTCATAGTAATCTACCGTTGACCTTTTCGGGGCCTGTACAGCCTTGGCCATGATCTTAACAGCCTCGTCAAAGTTCTCGTTACGAAGCTCCATTTCAGCCCATTCAATCCACATATCAGCAAGCTCGGTAACTGACTTGAACGGAACTTTGACAGCTTTCTCCATGATGATCCTCGCATTCCGGATGTCACCTCCCTTTTCATAGAACTTGGCATAGTTTGCCCACAGCTGGTGGAAGGGGCCTACTGCCTTTTTCGGTTGGATGGCAGCAATGGCATTGGTGTATGTCTGCACGACCTCAACTTTATTGTCACCCCATAGAGCCACTCGTTTCTCCCATTCCGCGACGTTGTTTGGATTTTGTCGGAGTAAAACGTCATTTAGAAGGAAGGGCCGTCGGTCCATAAGCTGTTCGAAGCGCATCATCCTTATGTCGAGGTCGAAGTCGGCATCTTCGTCTGCTATTCCTTCTTCTGCGCGTGCAGATGCCATCTCCATGAGTGCGCCGATGATCGACTCTTCAAACTCCACATATGTGTCGAAGATGAGCGTGAAGTCGCGAACAGTCATGACAGTTGTTATGCCCTCTTCGAATATATCTCTTGCACGTTCGAAACTTCCTCTCCTTGCCCAATATGTAGCCAAGCCGCACCAGAGCTTTCCCCTTTGATCAGCAAAGCGGTCGATCCCACTTCGAATAATTCGTTCGACATCAATACCAGTTTCATGACCAGTCTCAACTTCTGCAGCATGTTCCACAAGCAAATCGACCACTTCACTCCACAACTCATAGTGACCTTTGCTCTGTTTGCTGTTGAACCGCGGATTGTTGAGAATATCGATATACTTTTGGACAGCTTCGGTATATAAGCCTACTTGCGTCAAAAGTTCAATAAAATCCTCCGCATCTTCAGGATGAATCTGCATATAGCGTCGCCATATCTTGACCGCAGTATCGCCCCCAGCAGAATTTGCAAATGGGCGATATATGGCCCAAATTCTGTTATGCTGTGTAATAGGAAGCGCACGCAATGCTCGATCAAATGTCCGTCGCGTCAGAGTGACAATGGGTTGCAGCAGCAAGAACTTGAGGTACATTTCCCATATACGTGGCATTTTATTCAAAAGAATCAAGGCTCGTTCGAACAGCGCATTGACCTTCCGGTATTCAGCGACAAAGACGGCAGCATTGAGTTTCGAGACATGTTTCGTACGAAATCGAAGGTACTACTGAGTGTCAGTAAGTTATGAACACTATTGCTCCGGAAGAGACTGCGGCAACGTTACCATTTTCCACAGCTTGTAAGACCTCGGGAGCTGCTGGCAAGCCCTCTCGAGAACGAAGGCTTGCTCTTGTAGTGTGCCATGCTGAAGTTTGAACTGAATGTAGGCTAGCCAGGGTTTCGTACTGCCGGGATCTCTTATGATGTCTTGTTCGTAAACGGCGTCTTCGTCGGCCTGTAGTCACTGTTAGTGGCATGACCCGGTGCGATGCGCAATGTATAATGCGCCGTCGTGGAAAAAATTAGATTGTGGTTACTCACAACGAGGCCAAGATCTGGGCGTCGGCTTGCATGGTTGCCATTGGCGACCCCGTTCGGCGGCATCTTGCTGGATCACCTAGCTCGGTGTCGTCGAAGATACGGTCCTCGCGTGAATTCGCAGGACGGCTGAATCGGGCAGCGCTCACCACATCAGCGCATCGTGAAGCAAACAGGATCGAGATCGGTAATAGAACCGGGCAAAGGACGTTCCAATGGTGGGCACCAGTACGGATGGGTGTGGACAGGATAATGGTCGATCTGTCTGCCAGGCCAGTCGCGGCATTGAGAGGGTAGGTAAACTCTAACAAGGCATCTACCGTCGACTAATAATAAACCGCGACATTCCCAGGTGGTTTTTAAGTGGGGTTGGTGATTGGTCACTGCAGTAGTCTCTGCAGTTGTCCCTGTTGTAGTCTCTACTAGAGTCTCTCTGTTGCAGCCTGCAGGAGCTGAAGGGTAACGGTAAATACAGTGCATCGACGAGCCCGCCGTTTAAACACTGTATGAAGGTCATCACCGCGGGCCAGCTAGCCAAGCTCCTACCTACTGTACAAACCTACGTATGTTATCAGTCCAGACAACTCTAAGCTTCCATCGTTTCAACGCGGCCGACCTCACACTGCCACTTTTGTGATATATCCCTGCGAACCCTCCCGATTCACTTCTATACGATCGCTGTAGGCTCGCTGACGAGAGAAACGAGCTAGGATGTCGGGCGCCGGAGTATGTCACGAACGGGAGTTTCTATCAACACCTCCACTCAAACTAATGGTCGTCACAGGACAGGGAAGCTGTCTTCCCGACAAGACAGTCGTTGGGTATCATGAAGGCGAAGCTAAAGGGAGCTGAAACCGGCCACAGCTTGCTCAAGCGCAAGAGCGAGGCACTGACTAAGTACGACTATATCTCTTAAACCTTCGCTATGCTCTCGTATGCTAATACTGTCCCAACAGGCGCTTTCGAGGTATGTCGCTACATCTCATTCTCCGCGGCCCACGACCGAATATTGATGGCATATAGAAATCACACGCCGAATCGATGAGGCAAAACGAAAGATGGGTCGCGTCATGCAGATCGCTGCTTTCTCCCTCGCCGAGGTCACATATGCCGTTGGCGGTGATATCGGCTACCAAGTGCAGGAATCCGCAAAGTCCGCACGCTTTAGATTACGGACAAAGCAAGAGAACGTCTCCGGTGTTTTCCTGCCGGCTTTCGAGAGCTACCTTACAGACGGCAACAACGACTTTGGCCTGACTGGTCTGGGAAAGGGTGGTCAACAGGTTCAGAGGTGTCGAGAGACATATGCTCGTGCTGTAGAGACACTTGTTGAATTAGCAAGTCTGCAGACTGCTTTCGTCATTCTAGACGAGGTGATCAAGGTTGTGAATCGAAGAGGTTAGTATACTCGACCTGAGATGTGCCTCGATTAAAGCTAACCTCATGAATAGTCAATGCCATGTAATAGCTCCCCTGTGTCGGCCCTGGCACACTAGCTAACGTGATTTATAGTGAGCATGTTATTATACCAAGAACCGAAAATACCATCAAATGTACGCTAAGTCTCCGACTAAGGGGTAAAGCACCGACTAATTTGTACAGATATCAACTCCGAGCTTGATGAGCTAGACAGAGAAGAGTTCTATAGACTCAAGAAGGTTGCTGGAAAGAAACAAAGAGATACTGCGGCTGCGGACGCCGAAATGAAGGCCAAGAAGGCCGCTGCAGCTGCTGCGAAATCAGGCCAAGAGAACATCGAACCAGAAGATGATTCCGCACCGGCTGATCTGCTAGCAACAGGCGAAGACGATGATGTCATTTTCTAGATTACGGTATTATACACGTCAAACAAGCGCCCTGATGTGGGGAATAGCCAAGGGAATCAAAGCGGATGTCTGCTTCTACGCGTGTATTGACATACTTATGGGACAGGCGTATCATGGTCAATCATTCCAATTCATAACTAATATCGACAAAATCTGACTGGACTCAAAACCCGCTTTCCGAACCAGAAATCACTTGCATTGTAGGTCACCGGCTGTACCATAACTTGTCACCGTGAGTCATAGCTTTGTGTATGTAATACCGTAGACCAAGCATGATTCGCCCTTCCATTTCATCGGCAGGGGGTAGTAGTGTCTTTGGAGACTAGGTAAACTGCAGAGATTGCTGAGCTGAGACCGTACTTCAACTAATAGTATATAATCCGACATACAAATGTATATCACGCAACTCGAAAGGGGAAAGCAAATTGGAAACAAGGGAAATATATATATGTCTGAAGAGATATGGCGTATGGGTTTTATATTTATCTATTTTATATAGCCACTTGTCTCTCCCTGGCCATGTTAACCCGATAAAATTTACAGTTGACTTGACAATATTTAAGATGTAAGTACTGCGGCTACACGTACTGAGCATTGAGATATAATGAAGGCCCATTTGTATCACCAAGCCCCATACAAGGCCATGACAGTCTCTATCGATCTCAAATCATAACCATGGTATCAATTCCCGTTCGAAGAGCTTGCTCAAGCTCTTCATAATTGCTTTGGATGAGGCATAATTGCCTATACAAGCTCGCCATGCCCACCCATAAACATGAAAGCGCTGATAGTCTTACACGCGACGACATAGGTACGTTACTGGCGTTGGTAAGTGACCTTGATGAACTTATTGCTATCGCCGACCGCCATGCCCGCCGTGTTCTCCTTGGCGGTGATAGCGCCAGCCTCGGCCTCGTACTCGATGAAAGCAATACCCTTGCGACCAGGCACGAGACGCACTTCCCTAAAGCCCTCGAAGCGGCCGAAGATACCAGTGAGAGCTTCGATGTCGTAGTCGTCGGGTAGGTTCTGCACGAAGAGGATCTTGTTCGGGGGTAGGTACTCGTCTGGCACGACAGCGTTGGCCGCTGCACCGCCGGTCGGCTTGAGACCTGTGCCGCGTGCCGTCTTCGCGGGGCGATTGGCTTCGGCGGATGGGGCGACGGCGCCAGGGCGCTTGAGCCGCTTCTGGTCTTCCGCCGCTTCGGCTGCCTTTCTCTTGTCTGTAGTTTTGCACGCGCGGTGTTAGCGATATTCAGCTCTCCAAATCCATGACGAAAGCGGTACAGTAGACAGGTACGCACCCTTTTCAGCGAGCCGCCTTCGCTGATGCAGCTCGAACTCTTCCTTATTTCCTGTGCTGGAGACGGTCGCGTCGCTGCGCGTACGGGCGAGAGCAAGCTGCATGGGTTTATCGAAAAGCTCGAAGCCTTGGACCTCTAATATGGCTTGGTGGGCTGACTCAGGCTTGTCGAAGACGATGAAGGCCTGGCCCTTCGCCTTCAGGTTCGTCTTAGCGACGATGTCGATAATGTTCCCATACTCGGAGAACACGGTAGTAAGGGCTTCTTTCAGTGCCTCGGGCTTCACGCGCTCTTCTAGGTTGCGCACGTAAACACTGTTTTTACCTTTGTGGTTAGCTAACTCGTGACCAGCGACAAAGCCAGGGACGATATGTGTCGGAGTGCAATGACACATACGTGGCAATGGGCGGACTGGATGCCATATTCCCTAAAGTATTCTGTTGGATATTTGAATGGCCCTTTTTCTTTTGTGTCTAGTTACAGTAAGGCAATGCTTTCTTATAGTTGTGTTGTGAGAGGTTGGCTTTCATACCTAGGTACCTACTTAAGTATGGATATGTAGGTATTATTAAAGTAAATACTGTGGAGACAGCCGGTCACTGTGTACCTACCTAATGTACCGATTCGTACCCATAAAACACTGATAACCACATGTTTGCTGTATTACCAGGCAAGGCACATTCAAGGACGAGAGTAAAACCCCAATTCAGATCTAGCTTTGTTTACTGGAACTATCTTTTATCCATCTTTGGATATATATAATTAGATACGCCTATGTGTATGCTTTGGAATCGTATTTTGAGCCCCTGTTTAATTAACGCTGCTCTTCGATGCAGTCTATTATACCGGTACCTAGTCTGTTCACCAGGTCTTGGCTCAAGGCGAAGACCGTTATATTCCCAAACCACAACTCAACTTCTGGTATCCCTTTCTTCGTACCATTCGATCACTGCTCCTCCTCTTCATTTGCTGCTTTCTCTTTCGGCTCGACCTCAGGCGCAGGAGCTTGTTCTTCACCTACTTCGTCAGGCTTTGCTGTTGATTGTTCCGGTATTGCAGTTTCTTCCTCACACTCTAACGATAAATCTTTCCGCAGCTCGGGAAGAAACCGATCTATACGTTTCCATGTCTCTACCCACAGAGTCTCTTGCGACGGGTCTTTGCTTGGAGGTACAAGATACCCACTGCTAGACATGAACAGAAGCACATTCTTGAGGTTTTCAGGCACAGCTTCCTCCTAACAAAATTCGGTTAGCAGGCGAAACATGCCATCCTTGTCTAGTAGAACTTACTAGGCTATCTCCTTGTCCACTATTCATAAGTCTATCCATTATGTCGATGATTTGTAGCCAAAGATCCAACATTCCGTCCCATTTAGATAGCAGCACTAGATATTGCAAAAAGGTTTTGCAAAGAAGAGAAGCGGCTTGCACTCTTGTCTCGCTCATGCCATCACGGTCTGAAGAATAGACCTCTGGCTTCAACAGTTTGTGGATTAATGGAAACAAGACTTCCCCGAAAATGGCTGTCCACTCCTTGTGGTCACTGCAGGTGAGTTCTGGAGATAGAAGCGATCTCTGCAATGACGAGAAGGCTAGTTGACGCACTTCTCTACAAGGGTTGGTGCATTGAGTGGTAAGTGCCTGGAAGATTGGAAGCCAATAGGCGGACCAGGCTATGACGATATTAGCTCTACTAAGATGTCAATGGGAAAAACTAGCTTGGAATACCTTCACTGTTTTCGAGATGCGACTGCTTCATCAAATGTGGTATTCGTCCTGTCATGCTTGATATGAGATTGACAGATTTCACACCACGTAAGACAACCGCGTTCTCGCTAAGGAAAAGTGTAAGTCAGACTATGGCCAGCAAGAGATTAGCAAAGTACGCACCTCGCCACTTCTTTCTTGGCTGGTCGTGCATTTCTTTGGCGTCTTTCTCCCTTTTGTTCTTCGGCTGCCCCAATCTGAGCTGCAGTCGCATACTCATTAAGAAGTGCAATCGCAGCTTCATAGTTGTCTGCGATGATCGCTGACGGCGAACCCGAAACCCCCCCTTCTAAAATATCGAAGACCGTCGGCGATGAATTGGGGTTTCCAGCCAGTGTGCGCAATATCAGCCAGAAATCGGGAGACGTCATGATTTCGCTACGAAGCGGCCCAGGCTGGTCAATACAAACTTTAAGACCTTGCAAGACAAGTTGAGATGTTTTCGTCAGCATCTCCCTGGGAAAGCTGGATATCGTATGCAGCAATACAGGGGCGCGGACGAAGTCGTGTTCCTGATCTGTCAGAAATGAAGTCTGCAGTGTTTCAAGATTACTCACATAACTAGCTTTTAGTATGTTGAATTGATAGTAGGCGGCTCGAGAAACGAGCGCAGAGTGGTATCGACTAGAATTACGGAGGAGTGTCTGCAAAACATCCGCAACGTGTTTACCGAGAGACTCTATCGTCTCGGGGGTCCTGAGAGCTAGGACTGTACAGAATTCCAAGATGTACACAACGGCTGGGTCGTAGTTTGGCTTCCTATGGGCGCTCTTATTTCCTGCACTTGCTGGGGAGGAAGGTACGCTTTCAGCTTTGACAATTATGGCCGGTACAGTTGAATTTTCATCATCTGGAACTTGTGCCAACAGTGCTTCCATCAATCGTGCGAGCGCACTAATAGGAAGGTTCCTAATTCTGGTTAGCGAGAGCAGACTGATGACGGATGGAAAGTCCTTACGAGATATTAGCAAAAATATCCTCCAGATGGCAAGCCTTGATGCAGTCAGCTGTGCTCAAAGAACTCTCCACCTCCTCGGCTGAAGGCTCTGGCGGGTCATCAGCCGCATAGCTCGAGATGTAGGATGACAAAGCGGAAAATAGGCCAGTGTCGGCAGCTTTTGCCGCACGATCGATGACTTGCGAAGGTGTGTGGACTGGGATTTTGGGTAGTTTTAGATTTGTATAACTTCTGTTGTAGAAGGATGGGATTAGTGAATTCACAAATAGCTTAAGCCATATCCTCACGATCTACGAGAAGTCAGTACAAGCCGCGTAACAAAGTCGCATAGACTCACATGTTCCCAGCCAGCTTTAATAATTGACTCGCTTCCTTTTACTACACGAAATAAGACAAGAGTGGCGAGCTGGGCCTTGAAGTCTCTGCCGAGCTTAACGGCTAGTTCGCTGACCATAATACTGTCACTGTCGTCTGAGACCTTGACCTCTGTGTTGAGTAGAGTGTTTGAGAGATCTTCATTATCGAGAGTCGTCATGTAACTGAGGTTTTGAATAATGTGGTCTAGCGCTTCGGTGATCCCATACTTCGCTGCAATCTGAGCACACTGGTCGAAACCCGTGACTACTCGAGAAAATACTGCATCATCGGTAGCCGACATGAACACGTACGAAAGGGTTGACACAATGGGTTTCCAGGTTGCTGCAAACATATCCGCATCATAGTTGTTCGTGTTACAATGTATCAACGGCCCAGCAGACTCGGTTTTAAGCAGCAGTTCCCGCCAGGCATAGTCGAATGCATGCTGATTATCATGTTCATCCGGAAGGATAATCTCGTTAGTCCTAATCGCTTCAAAGGTAGCCTCAAGGAATTCAGGGGCAAAGTCTTTTCCATCATTAACACCCCTAACTTGACGCGCGAAATCAGCTAGTTCCATGCGCTTCTTGATCTTTGGGCTATGTTGATCGACATTCAATATGATGATCGCGTATGTGAGAACAAATACGGCATCTTGATTGGCTACATCGTCGGAGAGGGTATGATACTTCGTCGCGAAGGCGGTCACAATTCGCTCGATAAGCGGTGACTCACCAGGAAGACGGAAACTCTCCAACAACTGACGTAGCGCCTCATCAATCCGCTTCCCAGAGAAATCAAAGAGATCCAGGAAAGCCTCAAGATATTCATCGTTGCCTTTCTTGGACAGAAAATCGCCTACTACTGCTTTGGAAACTCGCGAAGTTTGCCGTAAAAACTTGGCGACAGACGCAGGATTATCATCAATAATGCCTGACTCCTTAAGGTACCCAAGGCCCTCCTTCGGTTTCTCGTTGAACTTCGTTGCGCCTTTGACAATAATCTTCTTGCGGCGTCGTTGCTCTCTTAGCTCTGCTCGGTCTGGAAGCCCTTCTACAATTGGCTGGTCCTCGAGGCGATCTGCTATGCATTGTACATGACCCAAAAGCGCATCTAGGCACAGTGGAGGAACACTTGTTGTGCTCCATGTCGCCGAGTCTGGTAGGGCACTCCTTGATAACAAGCCAATCATGTCTTCGCAGAGATTTACCCGATTGGCGTCACAATCGTAATTGACAAAAAGCTCAACAAGAAAAGAAGGCATGCGAGCCAGAGCACTTACGCTTTCAACCATAGCTTGGCGAGCATCAGGTTTGCGCGTTCCACCCTCCATACCAAGTTTCTGCCGATCCCTAACCGGCACAGGTGTCGCTGCCCTCGAGCTACCGCCTGCAGGTGAGGCTGGAGGCTTAGCGCCGCTTGGACGTTGTGGTATGCCATCATATAGCGAGGGGTCAATGTTTGGTTCCCATGGAATCTCGACCGGTGGGTGCAAGCAGGCAACTAGATAGGAGAGAAAAAGCTCCTGCTGCAGTTTCAAGACACCTCGACATGTTTCCAACAAGGTGCCTGCGACAATGAGCGACTCTTGCAAGATTGCCATGTTATCTGACCGGACGAGCTGGAATAGATGTTGGCATAGGCGGTCTTCTGCTACTACGGCTAACGCCGGGTGACGTGCAATGGATGGTCCTGCGACTTCGAGCGCAACATGTATAATGCGCAATGCCATTACTCTCATGGTATCTCCTTGTTGTTTGTCATGAGGGTCGAGGAGATCTACCAGGACCCTGAATAATTCTTTCATTGATGGCAGAGAATACGGTTTAATTTCGAGCGAATCTGGCGCATCCGAGGACGCAGAGGCGGAGCCAGTCTCTGCATCATTGTTTGAGATCTCGGTGCTCGAGGATGTCCGTTCTTCACTCTGGGGTGCATCGGAGGAGGCAATTACATCGTTACCATTAGTAGACGGCACCATCCTAAGGGCTTCTGTATCGCCATTGGCCTGGTTGTCGAGTACCCCCAAATCATCGCCAGCTTGGACTTCGAGATGTTTAAGGTGTTCGAAGATAATTTGACACATTCGAACCATAGCAGCCTCAGCCGTCCTCCTGAGAAGCTCTGACAGCCTTGACTGGCAACACATAGTCAACCCAGTTTCCATCATTTCACAGACGCTCTCATCGCTGAGCAATGCACCCCCTGGGCCGGAAAGCATATCCTCCATTAGGTGTAATATCATCAATAAGACAACCTCGTCCTGCGCCGAGTCACTAGCTTCGAATCGGCAATGGGTGATGGCAGTTGACAGCGACTGCATGGCGAGTGGGAAACGCGGTGAATCCGGGCTGATAAAGCCATATGAGAGGAACTTCCGTATGGCCTTCAGAGCGAGAATTGTGATAGGAGCGGATGTCGAGGAGGCTTGTATGACCTGAAGAAACGGGCTGAGCAGGGCTGGGGCATCGAATTCATGTATATCTAGGCTTCGTCAGTTATTTTATCATAGCTGGGTATTCAGATAGGACCGCGTTACCTTTGCAGCTTGACAGCTCGTGACGCAGTCGTCCAAAGCCTGCCATGAGTGGGTTGTCTTGCATGCTCTTTCCCTTCTTGCCTCGCAATCCCCACCTATTTGCGACACCAAAGTCCTGCGTCCCATCTGCACCCAAGCCTGCAGCAGAGCCTCTGCTCCCTGGGCGCAGCAATGGACTGGGGGGACCGAGCTGTACGGGATTCGGGTTCCCGCCAAGGATGGAGGACACGGAGGAGCCTGCCCACCGAGCATGTTTACGCATAACCGACGTGACTGATATACATTCAGATATAACCAACGAAACCGGATCGACAGCCACGGATACCGGTCGACTTCTGTACTGCGTGTCGGAAGAGCGGAGATCGGCGCTCAATACGGGACGGGTAGACGTGCTTGGACGCGGAAGCTCAGAGCTTTCTCGAGCTGCCGTGAGCGCTGTGTCCATTCTGGCATCGCTTTGCGCATCTTGACTCATTCTCGCCCACGCGGCGGCAGCTTTATTAGGCGAGACTAGATTCGCTGGTCGAGACTTGGTAGTCAGGCGTCTCGATAGAATTGGCGTCAGGTTCGGCAGGTACGATGGATGCAGCGACTTGAACGGTAAATATAGGAATTTTTGATAATCTGGGCTCTTTAAAGGTTCAACAGATGTCCTAAGTGCCCGTCGTGGTGTGTCGCATTGGTTGTCTACAACTTGAGATTAATTGTACACTACACAGATGCACGCTCAAGGCACCGTAGATTTGGTAGGTAGGTCACGTATAAACTTAGGTAGGGACTCGACTCAGTACATAAGTCTAGGTGGGTACCTACATCTTACCTAAGCTTGCCTTAACCTTCAGTGCGTATAAACCCCTGTCAATTCTTGCGTTGTAGCCAGCGTGGCGGCAAACTTCATCAGACAGCTTTACTGTACAGTATATGTACCATAGGCATATACCTGCTTACAGCTATTAGACATCGGACACTTTTGTTAGTTGATACATGTATTTCTGTATATCTACTAATACACTGAAATGCAGGTAATCCTTGTGAAGGTTGATCAAGTATAGGCTGATTATACGTGCACAATATGACGAATCCTCAGCCTACTTAAGGTATCAGGTACCAGCAGCCTGTGTGGTCAAGGATGGTGGGTAACCGCAAAATATTTCCAGCCCTCTCAGAAAATAATACATGTAAATGCCGCGATATCAAGTAGATAATATGGCTATACAGTGAATAAGGAGCAGCATCTACCTAGTTACTGCTATGCTCGGTATCCTATGCTTCGTAATCATGTCTAGAGAGAGAATAGCACCGAACGCCGTGGCCTATGGCCATCCCTGATGTCCGCTTGTTATACAGACGACCTTAAGCTCGGCTCTTTTCTCTTTCACTCCCAATGCGAGTACCATGTTGTCACTACGCCATCCGGAATAATGAGAACAATCAAATGCGTAACACCCATAACACCCCCCAAGATTACCTGTATACTATTGCGCCCCTTTTCTGGCCGGCTTGCCCGTCTTCTTCTTGGAGCCCATAACCTTGGAATTGTCCTCGATATCTCCTTTCTTCGATCTCCCAGTTTTCTCCTCTGATAATAAGTCGTCCTCGTCCACGCTATCTGTTTCGTCCACCTCATCCACATCAACCCTGTCATCTTGATCGGTTTCCTCAGTCGTAGGCTTACTCTTCTTTTTGGATCCTGCCTTTTTATCTGCTGAAGCTTGCTTCGCAATGTTCTGAATATCGGACTTGTCTTTCTCCCACTGGTTGTTAGTATCACTGAACTGCTCCTTGATCTTCTTTTCTTTCTCGGCTTTTTCCTGTTCTTCGGCTTCCTTGGCAAGCCGCTCCTTCTCCATTTCCTAGCAGCGGATTAGCATGTATATTTAGAGGTCAAGAAATAGCTATGTATACCTCCATGTGCTTTATATCGTCAACACTGGGCTCGTATAAATGCCATATGGTATAATGGGGAAGGCCAACAACAGAAAATTGCATGCGTTTGGCCATCTGTTAACTCTATTAGCAATCAATCAGCTTTAAAATGGCTCTTGAACCTGACCTTGCCAAACCCTTCAGTCTCAGCATGCCTCTCAAAGCTAAAAGCTGGAAAGTGCACACCAGATCTAAAGACTCGTGCCTTGGCCAAGATGCTCACGCCCCCAACTCCATCAATCTCCATCTCCATATCCGGGTCGCCGTAGGGGTCGCGCAGGTACGCCAAGTGAGGACGCCAGGTCGCATACTCAGCATAGCCTTCCACAATAACGGCATCTTCATCGAGTGTTTCAGCAAGAGCTAATGCGGTGTCTGATTCTTGCCAAGAATTCAGATCATACGGCTGCTCCCCGCCGAGCCAATCGGGAAGCGGTCGCCACACATCTGTAGAAATGTCAGGTAAAGTCAAGAAATACAATTATGGGCGTGCTTACTGGGGACAATAACATCCTTGTTGTGACGCATAAGATCCTCGACGATGGTAAACGGTGCTGTTTCAACGTCAACGTCCCGCCAATACACCCAGGAGTGATATGGGCGCAGAGTAGCGCTTAGCAGCCAATTCCGTGCCTGTGCCATGAGCTTCCGACGGCTTGCTTGAGCAGCAAATCCATGACGACTCTCAACGTCCTGATTGACTTTTTGACCGAAATCTTTCTCAATAATAGATATCTCGCCATATGGTTGTTTCGGATCCTCATGGGCCTGAAGCTCTTCCAACATTTCGACAAGAAGCTCTAACGTCCTGTCCTTCGAGTCAGAGACCAGGAAGGCGAGGTCCATGAGGTGGTGTGGGTAGGTTAGATTGCGAAGATGTGAGAACATCATTGGAATATGGGGTTCGGCATCCCTCAGGGGAACACAGAGTAGGATGCGCTCCTCCCTTTCCCAGCCGCGGGCAGTCCCTTGAACATTGGAGAGGTCGTAGTAACGAACAGTATCCATGAGAACTTCGCTTGCCGAGCCGACCAGACCAAGCGAGAACACGGATGTCAGGGAGAAGTCTCCAGGCCAAACAAAGAGGCCAAAGAGAAGCGCCGCTACAATGATTATACCCAGTCTTGTCATCAACTTCCTTCGACGTCGGGCCGCGGGAGTCGCACGGGGCAGGAAACTAAGCATGGTATCCAAGTCAGGGAGTAGTAAATCAAAGATATTTAGAGTGATAAATGCTCACCTGTGGGGCGCGAAGTCAAAGTCGTGCTGGTCCCGCGGATAGCCATTAGAAACTCCGGGGTGATGCCGGGACATCACTTTAGAGTTTGCGGGAACCGCATACGAGGGAAGCGTAGATTGTGACATGGGCACCGCTCGAAGGTCGTGCGCGGCCGACGGGGAATGGCAGAGACGAATGTTGGTCCCCGAGCTGAGGAGGATATTGAGAATAAGAGACGCGCGCGCCAGAAGCCACCTATCAGGAGAGACCTCGGCCCCTTTGCAACCGGGTTCACCAAGCCGTCATGGACAATCCAAAGCAAACTGGTTCTCAACTAAAGACTTCGAGTGGGTCGGGGTTAGAAGTAGTGAAGAGTGAAGACGTCGTCGGCGTCGTCGTCGTCGTCGAAAGAGGGCCGCTGTGCATAGGATGAAAAGGCGTTGTATTTCATTGAGTTTGGACGATGATCACTATCTGCCTTCTCAGAGGTAGGAAGTAGATTAATTAGAGGTTCAATTGATCTTGAAATTCAGGCCAGTTTGGGCTCTTGGCATCCCTATAAAGACCCTATAACTGGCTATCATATGGGCCATAACAATGCCGCTGGGCCCACTGATGACGACGGGCTGGCGTTTCAGCCTTTAGTCCCCCGAGTCCCCCAGTCACCCGCAGCAGAGCCCGCAGCTTCTGTCAGGCCCGCTTCCATACCTACATACCGGTACCTTATGTAGGTAGGTACTTACAGTACATGTACGAGGTAAGTACCTAGCAGGAGCCGCGGATGGCCCAGAGATAGGTATCTACATGTAGCTCTGGACAAGTGGTAGGTAGGTAGGTAGGTATTTTAATAAATAAATGACACCGACCCGCACCACCTTCGGCGGACCTCCCATATGTCGCCCGACTTTTGCTGAGAAAAGAGGCATGTACTTTCTCAAAAAGTATCTACATGCGGTAGATACCTACTAGGTATACCCTACGTGCTTGCTTATGAGTATGATAGGTAATGTGTATTTGGAACGGCAGCTTATCTTCGGCACAACTGGACTGACAGATCAATTGGGGCCAATCTACATGCTTAGCCAACTTCTTGTGTGGTATTGTTTGGATCTAGATGGCAGTTTCGAGCTCTCAAGCCCGAGGCATTCGTCAGAAGCATGGCTCTTTCACGATGGTAATATGGAAGCACAGTCCGGTCTCCTCTTCCGTCATCTCCTGATTCGTAAGCATGCCTTCCAATATATAGGTAAGTATACATCAGGTATCTATCCATCCATCCAATCAATGTGAAGGCCGCCGGAAGCTGACCTCAATACACTCAGACCATACCCAAAGTTCCAAAGAATTCAAAGCCGTCTCGTTTTCTGCCTCTGAATCTCGATGTCATAGCCAGTTCATGAGTGGTTCAATTCACTGTCCCGCTGCGGACTTTCAGCCGCCGCCACGGTCTTCCTTCGTTCAGCCTCGTCTCTAACACGCTGTTCTCGTTGTTGACTGCGATTGAGCCGCTTGCGACTGTAAGTACCCAAAGCCCATATTAGTGCGATGCCTGAAATAATCGTGCACACTCGCATGTCCTCGCGAAATGCTTCGGCATATGCTCTTCTAATCGCAGCAAGGTCGTTTGGTGCCAAATTGTCACCGCCGCCACCCTCAACTGAGGAAATCTGTTGCGACGTCACCGATCCGCCTACTTGAGCGCGCAGTGACATCCCTAGAATTGCAGAAGATGCCGCAATGCCAAGACTGCCCCCAAACACTCGCACTTGAGCTACAATGCCCTGTGCTGATGCTGATACTGAGTTAGCCCTTGCCATTTCGCATCTTGGGTGGCTTAGGAACTCACCGTGATCCCGTATCGATGATCTCAATGCTGCAAGCATGGTGGTTGTTGATACGGATAGGCCAAAACCAAGGCCAACGAACACCAGAAAACCCAGAGCTTTGGCTTCAAGACTAACTGAGCCAGAGACTGTTGTGAGAAGTCCACAACCTAAAATCATGAAACTCGTCGCTACGATCAGCGTCTCACAGCTACGGTCTTCCTTCCCATTGACCTTGCCAGATATGACTGAACCTATCGCGCTGGATCCTAGCATTGGGAGTAGCATCACCCCTGCTACCAAGGCATCTTTTCCATTGACAACCTGACAGCGAAGCGGAAAGACGTAGATGACCAGGATGTAAGGAAACCCCAGGAACAGGGTATTCAGAACGGCCGAGGCATATACTCTATCACGAAGAAGGTTCATAGGAAGAGCCGCGGCGACGTTGTCTCCCCACCGCCTGTCTACAAAGAGGGACCACTATAGTTCGCCAAGATCAGTAAATCACTTTGTCAGGTGAATTGGGCCATAAAAGATGCTCTGAATGCTTCCGAGACATGCTCGCCGCCCCATCAAGTATTATTCTCCACCACGAGGGACCAGAAGACAAGAAGAAATAATCCGTGGGGTGGCGTACAGCGAATACTCCCAAAAACGCAACCAACCCAATGGTGAGCGGTGCCCAAAATATCGCTTCATGCCACTGATCAGTAGCGTTGCTGGCATTCTGGAACGGGAATACAATAAGAACAGCTGCTGCGACGAACAAGGAGGATCCAAAGTAGTCCAGCTCTCTCCACGATCGCTTTTCGAGATTGTTAGGCAGATATCGAGGGTTCGGCCATGTGATAAGAAACAACAGAAAAGAAGCTGCACCAATAGGCCCACTGGAATTTGTTAGTATGTTGTCGCAGCTGTCATTCGTATTCATATTGTATACTTACTTAATAAAGAAGATCCACCGCCAGCTCACGTAATTCGTCAAGATACCACCAAGTACAGGACCCAACACACTAGAGATGGTTATGATGATTCCAATAATGCCAGCAAGGGCTTGTAGGAGCCTGGGAGGTGAGATCTCTGGAAGAATTATCACTGCAATAATCCAATTGTTAAAATCGTTCCTTGAATGGGGATAAGGCTTATTGTCAAGACCCTCAGTATCATACAGGTGTTCCCGAAGCCAGAACCTTCCTAGAATGAAGAAAAACGATAGAATGCATACTGGTAATGGAATACAGGCCTGATCCACCGAGCCCCTGGATCGCTCGAAATGCAATGAGTTGTTGCAAGTTTTGTGCAAACCCGCATCCCAGCGAAAAGCCTATGAAGATTACGTATGATATTAAGAATGCATCGCGTCGCCCAATCACATCGGAAATTCGAGCGAGGAAGACGGCACATCCCAGATACGATAATGTATAGGCCAATGCCACCCAGTTTACTCTTTGCAGATCGTCAAACTCCGTTCCAATCGTGAAGAGGCTAGTCGCCACTATTGAGCTGTCTAGAAAGCTAAGGAAGAGCCCTGTCGAAAGGCTAATTACGCATCAGCACTACAAATAAGACAGAAGTTCGGCAGCATAACTAACCCGAGACAAAGAAGCACTAAACGCGCCGTGGGGATTTCTTCATGGCGAATACTCGACAACGAGTTGGGATCCAAAATTGGCGGTTCCTTTTTCCTCTTTTCGCTAGATACTACGGTCATGGCTTCAATGTGGAAAGAGAATGAGAAAGAGCTGATATCCGCTTCATAAAATGGTTTGGTAACTAGGACTAACTTTGCAAGAAACGTGGCACAGCGTCGCATATGTCGTATATTCACGGTCTGGATAGTTTGGTAGTAAGACATATATGTAGGTAGGTGGTGGTCGGGCCCGGGTCGGGCCAAATCGATAATACCGCATTCAACGAACAAAGAGAATCCGAGTGCGAATTTCCCATCTTCCTCAATGCCTCACATTAGCATCACGGAATTTCCTAGTTATAGTAGACCATCATCATGCCGTTGTTAGTCTCTATGCATATTAATTCTCGGGCTAACTCGAACGCCACAGATGCGAGGCAGCCAATCCTAGCGTTGCGCGGCGAGCTGGCATCCTCCTAACCTCCACTTGCCCTCGCATTCGCTTACCGTTACCAAACTCACACGACCCGGCCTATCGGGAATAACCATGAGCCACATAAATCGGCCTCGGCTCAGATTCTCGGGCATGTACCTCTCCGACGAGTTGGCCATCGTGCAAGATGGGTATTTTGGCAAGATCTTTACTCGGGCATAAAAGTACCACGACTTTGGAACCCTCCAAGGGCTCTTCAATGCCCGAGAATCTGAGCCGTATCGGAGTATCGAAATAACCTAGGACTGTCATCCACCTAAGGATGTAATCGCGAAGATTTTACATCTGAAGCAGCTGTCATACGATACTCGCCTGCTCAACGCTTGTCGATAACCGTCGTGCAGATTGACCTTTACTAAGTCTTGCATTAATACTACACCATGGCAGCCAAGACAACAGGTATATGGGATGATCCATTAGAAACTAAGACAGCGGCGAAACGCCCTTTACACGACGTGATATGGGGTAACTTCACATGTACCGCGCGTGCTACCATGGCTTAATTGTGCCTTCTAATAAACGCAATCCACACCCTTCCTTTTAAAGCAAGTAAAACACTGGCTTGGGGTTCGTCCGACAGCGCCAGAAGTATACATGAGAACATATAAGATTGCCTGCATCTTAACAGCACCTTGGACATCACTAAACGTAGTAGTCTCTCGATAAATTTCTTCTGCTCTTCTACAATGCAACAGAGCCTACCTAGATGTATGTGAGTGAGGATTTGCAAATCAGGCTTTGAACGGCACGCTTTGAGTATCTGTTGAAGGCAATTCTAAATTCTCTTATGATGTTTTCTAGCAAGCCAAAAAGGTGCTAAACGCCATCGCTAAACTAGTTTGCTCAGCTTCGTCCTACGTGATACAATATGTGCTTGTCTCTAGTCGACGCTTGCTTGGCAAGGGTTCACGACCATCCCCTGTATCACCAATTTGCGACCGATTGACAATGATTCCGCATGGAAGAACGATATCCAATGTCATGCCTAGGTAGATTGTCCTTTATAGACAACATCTAACGCCGAGTTTTCGGTCGACTCAGCAGGGTCCTTGGACAAAGCCCCTTGAGCTCCACCAGAAGGAATGCACTTAATGGTACCTATGGTCTACGAAATAATGCGGCCTTTCATTTAGTCAAGTAACGTGCTGAGCCTGATAAGATGTGCCTCTTTAATGGCATGTGTAATAGTCAATGTTGTTCAGAAGACTCCAATACTTAGCTCTACCTCAACTGTGTTGTGTTGGGTGGAGGACTTTTTATCTCACTGTGATCTCACACTCAGGACCGCCCAAATGCTAGTCTCTTCCTCCTATCTTGCTGACTTCCCATTGTGAACTATCTAGTTACTATGCTGTGTTTCGTATGTACGTGCGTACCATTGGCCTGACTAGGGATGACTAAACCTCACTCTAATCGACTACTTCCGTACATACTAGTGCCCCAATTACTAGAGCACTTAGATTTCAACCATCGTCATCCCAGGTTCACATTGTCAACTACAACGCAATAACGGTCTTATGCGCTTTTTAGCCCCTTTGCACTACCTAAATCAAGTTGCGGCCTCCAATCAACATGGCATTTCTATCGAATCCTCGTACGAGAGCCGATTCTCTGTACGTGTACTCTTTGTAGAAACTGCAACGCTAGGCCGAAGGTTACTTCCGCGACCCATGTTGCTCAAGTGCACTTAAAATGAGACCTGTGTACCTTTCTGCACCTCTTACGTCCCATCCTCGACGGGTAGTACTAATCTAGTTCTCCATCACGTCAAACCAGGTCTCGGTATTGCCGGTGCTCAGAAGGAAAACAGCCCGCTTTAGGCCATACTCCCGGCGATGTCTCAGGACCTTTCACCAGGTCGCTAAGAGATTTTCTACGATTACGTGTTGGTCTGGGTCCGGAACGCAGCCAGGTAGATTCTATTGCAGCTAAAGCTCATGATGCTAGTATCTTCAGTCGTGCTTCGTATCACTGCCGGTTGATTGCCACTATACCAATATATCTGTTTTGTACTAGCCGTAGTCTCGGGCAGTTGGATGGGTGCTTCACAGAGGGAAATGGACCACATTTCGAAAGTCAAGCCGCATTATCAAGATTTTCTGATGAATCAAAGGTCTCATCTACCAACGCTGACCTATTTGGCAATAGAACTACAGCACTTCCCGGGCATGTTCGGGTGTACCAATTCTCGTTACTGAGCACGGAATTCAAGGACACAGGGTGGACCTCAGATGGCTCTGACAAGTATCTACTTCGTGTATCCTGGAGAGTGTTCGTCGGTAGTACGTTGAGGGGAATTATACGACGTGGAAACGTTCTAGATCTATTCGGGGCCAATGCCATTTTGAAGATCATGTGGTTTCTTAGTAACACTGATTATCTGCCGAACAGTGATGTCATAATATACGACATTTCGTAGAATGAACATGAAATATCTTTACGATCATGGTGGGTAGGCGACTAAGGAGTATTCCACTTATTGAATTATCTGTGAGCCCATTGGTAGTTAGATATAGCTGGGAAGTGATACTTAAGTTGTCTATGTCATTGCGTACTACAACTAGCAGCTCCCGATGCGACCGTTGCTTGTTATGGCATGTTATGTAGTTGAACAAGATTAATTTTCCACATGAATTGTATAAGACAATTATCGGAAGCAGTATTATGTTCTCGCGAATTGCCACTGTTTAGACTTTATGTCATCCCATCATCTTAGCGAATGTACCAATTTCCCAAACCGGTCGTTCATTAAAAGTAAAGCTATTGCTGCAGTCGACTTTACTCTATATCTACATTTGTAGGACAGTTCCCATCTGTCTGCTATCTGTTAGCATAGTCTATACACCATATACACCTCAAATTTATATGCGCATGCAATGTACCCCTTATAACGCAATGCAACAGTTTTTAACCTCAATAAATGTAAAATTATTATTATTAAAAAGTGTTAACTAAGTCTAATTAATAACGTTTAAAGGTCTTTAAAGCTATTGCTTTATATATCAATCATTAATGAATGCATCATTTTTAAGATGGGGTAGAAGGTGGAAGGGTTAAAAGTATAAATAATGTCAAGGATATAAATATATCTTTACGTGTTGGAAGATTATAAGGGGCTATTGTTAAAAAGATGTTGCTTTGGTGGTCTACCGTATACTAACTGTATCTTCAGATGAAGCTGAGTGATGACAGCCCGACAACTGCCGATATTGTCAGGGGTCTCGGGGCGGAGGAACAAAGATATACACTGTATATAGTTAGAGAAGTCTGAATACCTTTAGACTTCAGACCTTTTAGACCTTTTGCCGCAATGTGATTCTTACTTTATACCTTGTATAGCCCTTCTGATAGATATAATGTAGGGTTGACTGTAGAGATAGGGATGAAAATACGGATTGATATGTTTGGTAGCATGAGAATTCCTCGAGACGTTAAGACCTATGTGAGGGCTACGTACATAGGGTCACTTTGACGAGGATGGAAGATTCCGGTATATAGAATATGCATATAGATTCATTCAGTACGTACAAAGAGGTGTGAGTTGCCTAAGGATTGCATATGCAACGGGTTGAGATGCCTGGTAGGACAATGTAGGTAGTTTCTATCTATAAAAACACAACAGTTCTCCCAAAAGAACTAGCAGAAGTATAGTAGAGAATATGAGCTTCTTTTCCCTTCTTCATTTTCATCTAGGACCCGTCTAGAACAGGCTAATGGATGTTCCTCGTCCCACGTGGACGTTGTAGAGAATATTTAATCACCATAATATAAGGCTTCAAGTTCCTGATCAAATAATATAGGAAAGTTTCATGTTATGAAAGACAGTCAACCACACACTCAATTCTCGATACCCGAGCCCACATGCTTTGCTTCCATCTCAGTATCTTCTTCTTGTGGTATGGATTCATGTATCTCAACTACCTACAGTGTCATATTTATTACACGAGAGAGAATCAAGCGCCTAGAGCTTGTGATGAGTGGAGTTTTCAGAGTTGTATGCCATAGCCGCGAGTCAACTGGTCATATCTTCGACATGACATCACTAATGGATCTGTCGCTCTCTGATAAACAGTTGTGGTGCGTAATAACCTGACACCAAGTGTGCTTTTGGTGTATCCACTATCCGTTAGATTAGACAGGAGGGGGACTGGCCCTCAATCAATATCGGCTCGAACACGCGTCTGCCGGTGTTCTGCCACATATAGAAACTACAGATTGTTGTAGTTAGAATAAACAACTTAAGCCACCATAGGGACCTTACAATTTAGATACTGGTTATTATGCGCTCATGCTCTGTATAGTTGCTAGGATCATAGCCTCGTCGTTTGAGTCAAACAGAAAGCAAGCTCCTGAAAGTCGAAATTAAAGATCTAGCTTCAAGACTGTCCGTGTCTTCGACAATTCAGACATCAGACGACTCGTCGCATCTTATGACGTGGCGCTAAAGGTACCTAGATCCGTGAGGTTAATGACCGCTATCTCAGTAACCATGTTGCATATCAAGGAATCTTAAATTGTGAAGGACTTAAACGGAGAAAGCATTGGCGTGCGACAAGATATATGTATACTCTTTGCATAGTAAACGAGGATCGTGGATACTAGAACGACGATTATCGTGCGCGTGCATACAATTTTCCGCCGCAATAATCTGTTTAGCATCTCCAGACCAGCCTTCCCAGGGGCTTGTTAATTTTAGTTATACGACCACCGTGGCCGTCATTCATCGAACTTGGGGTGAAGATATGCTGATAAGACAAGTTCCCTGTTTGAAAAGAGCTTAAATTCTAGGGGACGAGGTGCTCGCATAGATCCCGTGAGCTTCCAAAGAGTAAGATAGCAACCTTCTCTCTGACTGCAAGTGTGAGCCGCGAATTAATTTTAAATCGGAAACGCGAATAGTAATAATACATTGCTGCCGGGAGTGAACTGTAAGAAGATGATTGGCATACCTAGAAGGCCAGATCAGCATGAAGGCAGTTTCGTTAGTTATCTGTGAAATTGTGCCCCGCAAGTATAACCTTGCCGCCGCCGCAAGCCAACGAGCATAGAATAAATTCTATCGAATTAACTTCTATTTATTTTATTTTTTCAAGCCCAAAGCTCGCCACACGAGACGAGAAGTTCTTTTCTTTCGGCCCGCTAGGTATTGTAGTAACACTTTAGGTATTTGATATATCTGGGAAACCCGCAGTGGCTGCCAGTTGTTAGCCAGCTGGCGAGAGAGCCTCATTTAGGCCCCCCAGGCCTGTAAACGCGGTACCTAGCATTACCTAAGGTAGGTAGTCTCACCCCGCGACGTCACTCCACGGTACGCTCTGGGTGCATTCCTAGTTCAAGCTATCTGAGTAACAACCCCCTATATGAGGCAAACCGATCCGCATCTAGGACGTTTTTACGCGACCGTGTAATATAACCTTTAGTCACCTTCGCCTCTTTTTGGCCACTTCCTCACTCACTTAGACCTGGTTCCTGGTCAGTATTCCTGCGGCAGGACACGGCTCGCTTGTCAAGCACTTGTACGAGCATGGCCGAGGTTGTGACAGATCAGACACCGCCGGTGCTCCGCGGCCCAACCGAGAAGGAGAAAAAATATGATCGACAGCTCAGGCTCTGGGCTGCTAGTGGTCAGGCCGCGTTAGAGTCGGCTAATATCCTCCTAGTTAGCTCTGGTGCTGGTACAGTCGGCGTTGAGACCCTGAAGAACCTCGTACTCCCAGGTAGGATGTCCTTGAGGGATCTCATAGCAAATGACTCTGACATAGATAAGGGATCGGTAAATTTGTGATCGCCGATGATGCCGTTGTTGACGAGCCTGACTTGGGCGTGAATTTCTTCCTTGATCAGAGCTGCTTGGGTATGTCACGATCGGAGTGCTGCACCAAGCTTCTGCTGGAGCTGAATCCAGAAGTCCAGGGAGACTGGTACCCCAAAAGAGAGGTGTGTGATGTCGGGAAGATCAGATGGCTCATGCTTACAGTGTGCGTGGTAGGAGAAATGGGACCTTCATGGTGTCCTCGACGGTTCAAGTCCCTTCACGCTAATCATGTATACAAACCCCATCCGAGAAGAGGACCTCGCCACCATCGAAGCTTATGCGACACAGAATCAAATACCTGTCGTGTGTATTCACTCCACGGGGTTCTACTCATATTTTCGTTTTAGTTTGCATGGAACCTTCCCCATCGTCGACACTCACCCCGAAGTGGACAAGACGACAGATCTTCGCCTCTTGCAACCCTGGCCAGAGCTGTCTGCATTTGCAGAGCAGATGGTTGAGGAGATAGACACCCTCGATGATCACGAACATGGGCATCTACCGTATGTCGTTGTTCTGCTCCACTTCCTTGAACGGTGGAGGCAATCGCACGATGGCAAAAATCCTACCACACCCAAGGAGAAGAAAGAGTTTAGTAAACTTGTCACGAGTGGCGCCAGGACCAATAATCCTGAAGGTGGCGAAGAGAACTTCCAGGAGGCCGTCGATGCAATAAACAAGAACATCAAGGTACCCGAGTTAGACCCCGGTTTACAGGAGGTGTTCAATCACCAAGTCTCAAGCGAGGTAAGATCTTTCCTGTATAGTAAATCGCAATACATTGATTGGAAAATGATAGGTCGAACGGCAATCATCGTTTTGGGTTATTGCTAGGGCCATCAGTCTGTTCTACCAAACACACGGGTGTCTCCCGCTCCCTGGGTCATTACCTGATATGAAGGCACAATCGAGCGTTTACGTCAAGTTGCAGGGGTTATACAAAGAAAAGGCCCGGAAAGATGCGCGAGAGGTGCTGGAGTCTGTGAGAGCGAGCGTTGGTGGCGAACATATTGACCAAGCTGAAGTGGACTTGTTCTGCAAGAACGCCCGCTTTGTCAAATTGATTAATGCAAAGCCGAGGCTCTCAGATCTTGGCCTGATCTTTGGTATGTTAATTTTTACCATCAAAGGGGCCACCTCTAATTTCATTCACCAGAGAGCGAGAAAGCGGATGACGAAGCAGCAGAAGCCATGAGAATCGAGACTGGAGGAGCCTTTAGTTTGCCCCTGTCAAATTTTTTCATCTACCTGGCGCTAAGGGCCACAGCTCACCACCCGTCTGCTACCGCCGACGAGATCATGAAGACTGTAACCCAGATGGTACCTCAGGCTGCGGACTATGATAGAGTAAGCCAAATCGCCCAAGAGGTCGCGAGAGCCAAAGGCGGCGAACTTCACAACATTTCCGCCCTCACTGGCGGGATGGTAGCACAGGAAGTGATCAAAATTATCACGAAGCAATACATTCCCATTGACGATACTTGCATATTCGACGGCATTAGCAGCCGATGTCAAGTAATAAGGTTATGATTACGGGCCCTGGATGGTCTTCTTGCAGCAGAAAATGGCGCTACATTCATAGGCGAGACGCCCGGAGCTCGCTTTGATGATCCGGGTTTAGCCAAGTAGGAGCTGTGGGGGCTTACTCGAACTTGGATACTTGGCGGACACAATGATACATCACAGTCGTAACCTCGACCCCGAAATGAGAAGGCCAGGGGTATGTATCGGACCGCAGGCCCTTATAATAACACTATGCTCTGCAAATAGCTCCTTTCATAGGACTCAATCATCGACAGACTTTGGCTCGCAGCACTGTGTGCAGACGACTATCAGAAAAAAGCCGTCCAGGCGGCTGAATAAGACTGCATTCGTACTGAGATCTGGAGTACCTTGTTCGCTCATCTCACCGTTTTCCTTCTAGGCCAAGGGAAGTAACGGTAGGACTCGTAGTTGTCGAAATTCAGCAAATGTGAGGTCATTACAACACCTGAAGGTAGAGAGCATCATCAGCAAAGAAGTAAACAGGAATTCAGGCATATGAGCCTGAAATCTGGTCCCCCATCTTTTTGACCTATCGCTCTCGGCGCATCATTGTTTCACTTCTAATTATTCCTGTTTGGTACAGCTCGCCGCAGTTCGATGAATCTCTAGCGATCATAGTTTATGATCCTACAACGCGCAGGTTCTTTGTTGACGGCAAACATTCTAAAAGCATTCGACAAGCTGCACTACTATCAACCTGGATACAGCTGATGACTTGCAATCTCAGGGCAAATGTAGCCAACCAATCATGAATCGTTCACCGTCACACTTTAGGAGTATCGTAGCTATTATCCCAGACTCTAATGATTCGCTACTTATGGCTCCAGCCATCGGCGAGTTCGCCGTGTGCCGATTCTGACCGGTTGGTTGGATAACTAGCGCCTTCGCCTTCGCCAGTTGTCCCGCATCTACATATTAAGTCAGGTGGATGCCATCCTTCGATTGTCACAACAATCTGGGGAAGATCAGCTGAACTACAAGGGTCATTGACGAGTCGGTGGCTTAGAATATGCACGAACGCACTCAAGGTGAAAACCCTTCTCATCACTTTTCGAAGTCCGAATAGGTCGAAAGATGCCCCCCATCTTAGGATGCAACCCCCCATCCTGTCTACGCGAACATACCCAATATGAGTAACACCTATTAATCTACTGAGGGTTATGGCCACATGTTATGTTATCTTTGATTGGATGATGCTAGCTTCCCCGCGAGTCTGGACGATACTCGACCAGTCCTTGATGGTAAGAGTTGTACGATGCTGATCTATATGCACGCATGCCTAGGTTGCCGCCTTTGTACCTTTGCCTGAAGTCGAGCACTAGAGAACTCTTTTCTGTGCTGAACCACTCAAGTCATCGACCCGAAAAGGAAAGAAAAAATCTTGACGAGGGCAGGAACCGTGTGCTATCCCACACTATATAAAAACTTCGATTACAATATGTGCCAAATCGTATACCATATGAATGGGCTCTTTAGGTTATGCCCCTTGTCAATTATTTTGGGGCAGTCATGGTATCTATAGCATAATGCTTAAGTGGACTAGGTTGAAGGCCATATGTAGCCCTTCATGTGCCCCTTCTACTTCATGGCCACGAAGCCTTATAGCTGATCAATAGCTTTCAACACACCTTGGTTGGCTCACTAGAATGGTCGGTATAGGCAAGGAAGGAGCCTGCCATCAGCTGTCTCATTGAGGCTGGTCGCGATATAATCTCTGTGCGTCTATTAGGCCACTTACACTAGGTAATTAGTGTGGCTACATGCCCAAGACTCTGCTACTCTCACGGCTCAAGAACCCGCTAGAGAGGCTTGGTGCTGCACGTCCGGTAGACAAGAATAGCATCCAATATAGCTGCTCATGCACAGTTATATGAGACAGCTTGTGTAGTCGGCCTAGCTCTAATGCTCGACTCCCCTCTCCTCTCAGTTAGGCCGCGACCAGCTCGCTTTCCTTCGGCCTCACCTCGCTAAGCGAATGACTGCGTGGCAAATGCATTTCACGTGTCGTCTAGATGCTTAAGCGAACGAAACACAGGGTAAGGTTTATAGTAGGCGTGTCACCTGGTGCGCTGAAAGATTGACTGCACTCCAGGTTTCTGTGCTACTATCCACGCTTCAATGCACGCAGAAGTGTGGGGTAGAGCTTGGCACTCTTGACTGGAGGCGGGAAGAGGGAGATGGGGAGGGACGAGATCTGGTGGGAAGTAGGAGGGATCCGAACGGCACAGATCGTGAGGGCTGGGACTTACGGTTGATCCGGATCGCATTCCTCAGGGCCCCGAGGATCTTCTTTCCCATTGGAAGGCTCTGGCGTGGTTGCATCGTCGTCGCGGTTGAGGACGAGACATTACCGCAAGCGCCGTAGATCCGCTTTAACAGTACAGATGAGCATGGAAAACTGCCTAGCTGTCCAAAACAGAGCTGCAGCCCTTCAGGCGCCACGGCCACGAAGATTCCTGTTTCGGTCACTATCTCCTCTTTTGGCCTGATGAACAAGTTACCTGAGCCGCCCGAGGGATCTAGTTGAGTGCAGTTGCAGCATCTTCTGCCGTGGATGCAGACATGCCTATCCGCGATGCTGGTGTAGGTAATGGTGTGCCTCGTACTTGCAAGCATATTGATAATTAGTTTCACAACACACCACGCAAGGAACACACGCCGATCAAAGCATTTTATGTGGTGATCAGAGACCCTGAACGACCGAGGTTTAACATATCAAAAGCCTTGTGCTTGAGGTTCAAGGGCAGAGGAACTTAACACCGGATGCCAAGGAATAGCGAACCAGCCTACATCTCATCAGTTCCAAGCTTTTTTAGCTAAGCCCACGGGTTCACGACCTGTATAGGTTTCTGCATCCACAATACTAATTGGAAGCTAGTCTCGCGCATACGACGTTCTACACGCTCATATTAAATGGTGGCAATGAGAGGGCTAGAACGGCGTGATCGCTATACCAACACCCGCCTGTGTATACTAGGCTTATTGCCTCCTCGTTGCCATTCCTCAACCTGACGACCAAACGCTGTCTGTGTCTCTTTAGCAGTGGGCTACGACTCTCTGTGTGTCTCTGTCTTGAGTATTATAGTGACTATACGTCCGGACAGCTTAATGCGACGCTGGGGAAACGATAAGGCACTAGTGCTCAAGAGCGATGGTTTCCGTGCAATTCATTGCAACCCTCTAACGGCAAGTTGGAATCCTCGCCCGGATCATCGTGGTACTCGGCCCTGTACCTTACTTTCCACTCTGTCAACGCTGGGGCTACTCTGGGCTACCAAAGGAGCAGGGGCAGGGCGGGAAATTCCTCCACCCAACCAGTGATGTGGCACCGAGATCTTCGCAAATGGGTGGCCATCTCCAAATCGGTTCCCTCTCGCCGTGATTAAGCTTCCTCATCGCTGTAGTCTCTGCCGCCATTGCACTGCATACTGAAGTCCACAGAAATTGCAGTGCATACCATGGCGCCCGTTGCCAGCGAGCGGGGAAGAGTGGGCCGAATCAGAGATCCAATTATGAGGGCATCTCAAAAAATAAGGTCACAAGCGCCATCATAGCTTTGCGAGAGAATGCTAGAAGTAACAGGCTGTTCCATAGGCCCGGCGTGCCCGTTCATATCTCATCCTATTCTGATGTCTTTCGGCGTGTTGTACTGCTACAACCTCGCCATCGTGCAGCCGATTACGTGTGAAGGAGCACGTTTCTTGCCTAGGTACTGCCACTGCCTGTTCTGCGATGTATGTATATGTATGTCGTCTCATATACAACTACGAAGCTTGGCGACAATGAGGGCTGCTGGGTATCATGCTGTTCCGGCTGCCTGCTGCGGCGCGCCGAACAAGCCCGAAATTCATGTTGCGGGCTTGATCACACTACTTGTCTTATTCATCTTCTGAAACGGCGGTCCTCAATTTTCGTTTGTGGCATTTAGCAGCCTCATTTCGCGTGAATCGCGTCGATGTCTTGTTTAAATGAGTCGAAAGGCACGATTTCTGACCTGATGGCTGACTATGGTTAGTTGGAGCATGGGTGTTTGCCCCATTCTCAACTGATGTCCCCTTTACTCCAAACCGGACTAAACAACCGACAACGTTCCTCCTTGGTGATTTTCCCCGTCCCAAGTCCCGCACTGCAGGCATCAAAGCCATGGTCACGTCTATCAATGAGCATATCACTCGTTCACCTCTAGTCCAGGCGGCATTGACCTCCACACCTGCTTTTTGATTTCCACCCGCCCCATCCTATACCATCCTGCAACTTAGATTAGGATAACGTTGTAGGGTATAGCATGCTCTTACCTTTTGCCTCTGCAGGCTCCCTGACAAGTCATGTCGTCCTGTCCTACACTAAAGGAGGGTATATGTGGTATTACATACCGCTGTGCCTGTACGCGACAAGACTTCGTGACTTGTTCCTGACCAAGGTCGACGCCGACAGGGGGGTTCAACTCCACCACTCTGGCTAGGTACTAGCACCTCGGCACCCCTTCATCTCTACCTTCTCCACGCTCCCCACAATGCACTGCTGCAGCTCAATATCAAAGATATAAATGTTCGTCGTCACCCGCGATGACGGGGTGTCGCTTGAGCCTGTCACGATAGACTCATGCCATAGTGACGCAGAGCCTAATTGAGGCAGCATTAGAGCAATCTCACCGACGCTCTGGCCTTTGAATATACATATATGCATATATTTGTTTCAAGTCCCACCCATCTTCATCTTCGCTGGCGTGTAAGACAACGATACTCAACGACAGCATGGCGCCAAGTATTCCTGTGCCCACGCAAGGTGGGATGTTTCACACATGTAACTAGTTATATTTGCGTCTTTGAATTGACCATTATTCTGACTTTCTATAGTTCAAGGTGTAACGCCTCGAAAACAATCCTCAGAGTCCGGTGAAAACGCCAAAACGAACGGTAGCGGCGTTGCCAAACGGATCACCACACCACATGCATGTGCGGAATGCAAACGGAGAAAAATGTACGGCCTAGATAATGCCTAAACAAATAAAACACGAAACTAACAGGGCTACAGTCGTTGCGATGGCCAACAGCCTTGTGGCCAATGCCTCTCTAGCCGAGCTCCCAAGCGGTGTTTCTACGACAAGCATCGCCAGAGGGTAATCCCGTCTAGAAAGTAGGTTGTCTCGAGCCAAATGAGAAATTGCGAACTCCACCTAACCCCCATGTTGCAGAACACTCGAGGCTCTTTCACAATCTCTAGAGGAATGCCGGTCTGTTCTCAAGCGGTTATTTCCCAACCACGACATCCAATCCTTATTACCACTTCCTCGCCAAGAACTACTCAGTCTCCTTGACCGCTCCACAAACGACACCATTATCGCTCTTCCTTCGCCACCACTACATCCTTCAAACGCCTCCGTAGATGCAGGCTCCCCCACGCTCTGTGGCTCAGACGAGGGCTTAGCTAGCCTCGAGCAAATACCATCTCGAGACTCAGAGTGGGATGAGGAGCGTCGGGGACGAGACAACATCCCTGCCGAAGCTGACGATGTGAACGCACTCTCCCTCTCAGTTGACCGTCAAGCATCATACTTAGGCGCTTCCTCAATCAAGGCGGCTCTAATGGTGATGCTCAAAGTACAGCCTGGTTTAAGGAACTGCCTCACACCGCCTCTCAACAGCGTCGAAATGGCCCACAACCTACCCATACTAAGACAGAAAGTCGTAAATGCTAAGGAACCGCAGCGAGTTCCCTGGTCATGGAAGGGCCAGACTCTTATCGATGCGTACTTCAAGCGTGTACATGTCCTTACACCCATGCTAGACGAGGCGTCATTCAGAGCAGATTACCTCGAGGGCCAGCGGTTTGATGCCCCGTGGTTAGCTCTACTCAACATGGTATTCGCAATGGGCAGCATCGTTGCGATGAAGTCGGACGATTACAATCATCTTAATTACTACAGCCGTGCCATGGAGTACCTGCCTATGGACTCCTTTGGAAGCAGCCACATCGAGATCGTCCAAGCCTTGGCTCTGATAGGCGGCTTCTACCTACACTACATCAACCGACCCAACATGGCCAATGCCATAATTGGAGCCGCCATCAGGATGGCCAGCGCCCTAGGTTTACATCGCGAAAGTCTAGCATCTGCGCCTACTGGGAGTTGCAGCGACATAGCAGCCGCGGAGACCCGCAGGCGCACATGGTGGAGCTTGTTCTACCTGGATACTTGCGCAACGACGACGTTAGGGCGCCCTTCGTTCGGGCGATGGGGCCCAGCCATCAACGTGAGATGTCCCGACAGCGGCCTAAGCTCTGGGCGTGACTCGGCTCAGCACGCGGGCATCCTGCCTCTAGTTGAGAATATCAAGTTCTGCAAGATCGCGACGGCCGTGCAAGATATGCTGGCAATATCGCCGCTCCTACGCACCGAGGACCGTTGCAATCTTGACGGCCAGCTCGTAAATTGGTACAGCAGCCTACCATGGCTGCTGCGGACAAGCGATCCCTGCGCAGAGCCCCTATACATAGCCCGCTGCCTCATGAAGTGGCGGTACCAGAATCTACGAATGCTTCTACATCGGCCCGTGCTACTAAACCTAGCCTCGAGCGGGGCATCGCATGCAGCCGAGCACGAGATCGCCGCCATCGAGGCCTGCCGCGACCTCGCGAAACAGACCATCGAGGATATAGCGCGCGAGTGGACGCGCAACCAGATGTCTGGCTGGAATGCCGTCTGGTTCCTCTACCAGGCCGCCATGATCCCGCTCGTCTCCATGTTCTGGCAGTGGGACAGCCCGCGCGTGCCCGACTGGCAGAAGCAGATTGAGACAATTCTCGAGCTCATGGAGGCTATGGAGGACTGGTCGCTCGCGGCGCGGCGCTCCCGCGAGGTCATCTGGCGCATGTACGAGGCCTCGCGCCAGCTGGAGCCTAGCCTACGCGCTGCTGCTGCTGCCGCCGTGCAACAGCAGCAGACTGCATCGTCACTATCACCGCATCTACAGATCATCACAGGTCACGACGGCAGCAGCATGCTGGGCACGCTAGGTGGGGGCGATGCCTCGGATCTACATATGTCGCCCATTGGACTCGGGCCGGATGGCTTCGACGACATGATGGGCATCCTAGATCAGCATGGCCTTTGGGACTTTGATGGCATGCTCTGGGCCGGCGCGGATGAGGTGGAGTGGGCTCAGCACCAGCAGCACCAGCCACAGCAGCAGCATTTTGGTGGTGCCGGTAACGCCGGGAATTACGCCGGGCTACAGCTGAGTCCCACGACGCCCGTGTCTGCCGGGATGGACGGCGCGACGGCATTCCCCTTCGTCCACTAAGAACACGCCCTACACTACGGTATATAGACAACCCCATTCTCTTTCTCCCCTCTTCCCTGTTTTCAGGGCTTAGGCTGGCCTCTCAATACTTATTCTTTTATTATCCTTTTTAAACTGGGTCACCCCAGTGCATGTATCCATGTATGGTTGTATCTATGTGGGGAATTTATCTATTTGTCCACTGCCTACCTTGTTCCTGGGAATCGGACTAGGGTTTGAAACACGAAGCGAGAAAAAAGCACAAGGAAAAAGACGAGAGGAAAGGACATGTGCCTGATTATGACGAAGACGACGATGACGAGCAATACCTCATATGGGACTGGGAAAGGCGTAGAGGGGTAGGAGGCGACCAAGGTGGAAAAGGAATTTTTTGGACTTGGGCTGGCTCGCATTTATTCCATCTGTACATATTTACCGTACCTTGTTGGCTTGAGGCATATCTGTATTGTACTGTCCCTTACTTGGGCCATGGTGTGTAACCAGAGGCATATGGAGTTGAGGACAAGGAGGCCTGAAATTATCGATACCTATGCAAGAATCAAAACTACTGACTTTTTTGTACCTTGACTTCAACACGACGCGCTTTTTTTTTTGTCCCCTTGCATGCTTCTTTTAAATTATGGAGCAATCACCCAAGATTCGGTAACCGCTTCCTCGACGCTCGGTGAATGCTACCTGCCAATGCGTCAAAGTCGGTGGACTTGGAAATAGATCAAAAGGCGGCTACACAAGTCGGGCCGGCGGCAGCCTATCGAGGACCCCCTAATCCTTCATTTTGCAACGTAATAACCTGCATGTGAAGCAAGCCTCCAGAAACTGCGACTCATGACCATAGAAATAAGCAAGGAGTGCAGGCACATGCATGTGTCCGCACAACGCCGAATATTCTTCATCCTCAGTCCAATGAAGTACTGCTAGTAGTCGTACTCAACCCTTCTTTAGGAAATATACCCTGATGCTTAGCTCTGTGCCACGCATTTGGTCCGGCTTTGTTGTTATTTCTTGGCAGGTCAGTGCGTCATTGAAAGGGTCTGTCAGTAGGTATAGGTGGTGAGATGGGAAGTTGGTGAGCTGGTGGTATCATGTTGCCGTAGGTGGCCAGTCATAGGTATATTAGGTTAGTAAGCTTCCCTTCAAGGCACACGATGACCGGCAGGTGTTTAGTCTCTTAACCTAGGCATTCAAGGACCTCAGATCCGAAGCAGGTCACTTGATTCTTTCGTTCACCAGCCATCTCGAGGATCCTGCCTAGCTCCACTCCCAACACTAGAAGGATGGACGGAAAATCTGGGGCTCGGCATCGGTTTCCTGATGAAAAAGGAACAGTAGCGTATGATCAGAAACGCATGGAGGCGGCTAGCTTTAGCGGGGAAGTGCAAGGGTAGCTCGCTCTAGTCTTTGACGAACCAATCGCATTTGGTGATATTGCAGCCACTTTGACTTAGGTAGATATACATACAGCAGTAAGTAGGTAGAGCATCTGGGGAATATCCTAAGCAGAAGTTACACGACATGAGAGAGGTATATAGTAATGATGGCTTCAAGGTAGGCGACTCGTCCACCGCGGTGGGAAGAAAGGGGTAGTCCAAGGTGTGGGCAGGTAGGTCAAGATCGTGTGAGCAGAGCGCTCGTGGCAGCTCACATACCGTATCACCCCCACTCCTGGCCTGTAGGATCTCGGGTGAAATTTCAAGATAAGTAGCCTCGCTTCCCAATCTTGCCATGCAGAAATTCACCAACGAACTCTAAATCAAGATTGCGCCTATCTATGGTGCGTGATAGATTACCCAGATAAAGCCCGCTGTGATGTCGACCGCATGTTTTTGTCGGTGCTAGTGCCGTGGAGAATATTTGATCAGCCTCAAGCAATTGCCAAAGCAGCATAATCGACAACTCGAAGAGAGCAAAAGTAAGCCTTCACCCTCTTAGACTAGCTACTTGGAAGCACGCCCAGACACGCCGATGCTGTGCACGGCGAGTCACCCCTGAATATTCCCTAGGATTCCCCAGTCGACGTTTATTTAGGCGAACCATTCGTGTGCGTCTGGATGGGCTCGGATGGGCAGAGGATGGGTAGTTGCCTGGCTCGCCTGGTAGTGTAGGACAAGAGTATGGTTTGCATGTGCAAGGGCAGCCGGACGCCACAACGCACAGACTTGCATTGCCGTGCATGGGAATGGCTTCTGGAAAGGGAATGGTGGAATCATGGCATCGATGATGATGATGAAGACAAACGCACGGGCAAGGATCTTCAATCTCACGCCCAATTCGGCAGGACACCAGGTGGTTCGCACTATGGACTTTCGGCCCGGGGTGAGAGACGGCCCACTGGCAAAATTGCTGGCCAGGACAACTTGGGCGTCACGTGGCGCGTTCCGGTACACCTTTCCGAAGCGAGGCCAGGATTAAGGACCATGCAGGCTTTGGCTCCATTGCCAGCCTTTGTCCGACACGAAATACCACCTATATACCTATATAGTACCTTTCATACCCATGTAGAAAGGCAGGCAGGTATCGCCAGCCCCTCTAGACCTATCATATACACTCCTATACCACGATGTAAGTATGAATTCATGCGACTCAGTGGAAAGCGTTCCTTGTCAGCATGTGTTCTCGTGCGGGGGAAAATCCTGGGGTAGGCAGGAAAAATCTTGGTTCGAGCATCTGAGAGAGACAAGCGAGAACACTGGTCAGCAAACTTTTGAGCATCCAGACCCTTTCAAAAGACTGCCTATTCGCTGGGCTAAATTGCTTTCTAGACATCAAGAGAAGCTTCCATTGCCGTCACACTACTCTTCGTACTATGTTCGCATAACAGATATGCTACTAATCAGGTGACAATACTATTTACATAGCTTGCCTAGACCTTGCCTGGGTTAATGATCCCATCTAGGATTGCGAGATAAACACGCCAAGCTGTGATATTCGAGCAGGTATCGAACAATTTAGCCCCCATCCGCACCTCCAGACAGGTACCACCATGTTTGACGGTCCAATTAGCGGCGGTATTCTTCCGCCAAACAATCCGACTAAGCCGCTCTTCATTGAGTAGCACCTTAGTGTTACCAACCCGGTAGGACATGAGTTCAATGATGCTACACTGCAGACCACCATAAAAAGAAAGAACAATTCTTGTTCGATTGCTACGTCGCCGTCTTTATATAGGTCATAGTTCATATAATATATAAATGATCACAATTAACCATCCATCCATTACGCTTTCATCAGCTTCGATAAACCAAGAGTCTGTGCGTTGTATCCCACGAAAACTTCGAGCGCTCAGTACTACTCGCGAGAATATAAGCACCATGTGCTTGGCTATAGAACTCAATTGAAGATTCGGTGATGAACTCGGGTATCGTCGGACACACATCCACGATAATTTCCATCGATATCACACTGCCAAATTCCCTCTGTACTTCGGTGAGATAATGTAGCATCGTGGCCTCTAGCACCCTCAGTGCCACATTCAATATGATTATATACGGCTAATCATATAAGATTAGCTGAGTAAGAACATCAACCGGTCAACCGGGGTGCTCTCACATTAGGGGTAATTGGTATCCCACCATGTGATTAGTAGGCAGGTATCGATGCATTCCTTTCTTCATAACTTTGGGATAATTGTCTTCTTTCTGTTAGAAGGCCGCTCCACGAGGGAACAGGACACGAAAGGTATATTACCCAAGCCCTCGGGTTATCCTAGGGGCTGGATATTCTAGTCATGTCAGTACCATAGTGAAGGCATATGGGACGGAAAGGGGCCAAGCTAGTACGAAATGATACCATGCTCTTCCTTGCGCATTGCAGGTCAACTAAAAAGATAGCGTGTTGTGAAGATGCGTCATAGCCTTCAGATTACGAACGCATCCCAGAACGCTCGCAGCCTTTCAACAACTCATCACATCATAATAGGAAATAAGGGTCGGTTCGCTCGTATCTAGCGTCATAGCTATTCGCCATGTCAGCCAAGGCTTTATATTTGAAAACATGATGCTCGAACGCGAATAAATAGGACATTAGCATTGCAGGGCTATACAGTTCTTATTATTGTTGCTGGGCGCTGCTGATACAGACGTGTTTTGCCTTGGTAGCCTAGCATAGCTAGTAAGTAGACAGCGCGTATGTCAAGAACAAGACACGTGATTCTATCCCCAAGACGGCGAGCATCAAAATTCGAGGACGGAAGGTGCCAGTAGCTGTTCTTCGTGTGGGCTGGTCTTGATTGAATACGTGGAAAGTGCAACGGGAAGTCGACATAGTCGAGGAACGGGCTACTGCCTCATTCTTCCTTTATAGCTGCGTGCCTCCTGTCGGTGAACCATAGTGCAGGTAAGGTGCCGAAGTCCAGTAGTGCAGTAGGTGTGCTGTCTGTTCGCCTTCTTTGACCCTTTTTGTGTCATCCGCCACGACACCTCGACTCTATTGCAGCCTCCAGGGCTCTCTGCTATTCCTGGTCGTTAACCTCAGATCATGGTCCTCGTAAGGCTTCTGCCTCAACGGCCTGTAGACGTCCAAACCCACATCCTATCCGAGAGCATGGAGCATACTCTGCAGTGCAATGTGCTGAAGTGTCGCAAAGAGCTAGGCGATCGCGCTCTCGTGACAACCTGTTAGTAAGTTCGGCTACCTAGGGAGCATGTACTTGACATCGTCAATTCCGCGAGATATAGAAAGCTAATTCCTCGTTCAACAGCCATATCTTCTGCGGTGATTGTGCGACCCGTCTTGGATTGGCAAGTCAAAGACGGGATCAGCCCACGACGTGCCCGGCTTGTGGCACAGTTCTATCCAACCCTGACGATGCCGTTATCACCAACCTCAAGCCTAGCGAGGACTACAAGACAAGTGTCCTTAGTGGCCTTAGCCCTAATGTTATCATCGACTGCGCAAGTCGAGCCCTGAGCTTCTGGGCCTACCAGGTCACCCAAGAAATGTATTTGTTGCTTATCCCATGTCAGGACTCCAAACGAAATGTACTAATAAGCATATTTTAGCATTTTCCAACAGCATATGTCGAAGACACTCACAGAGAAGTATTCCAACCTCAACGTCCACCTAGACAAAGTTGTCAACGAGGCCAACGCCGAGATTGCAAACTGCTACAATAAATTAAAGAGTACAGTGTTAACTCAGCCCTCTCTTCCAAACTATTCTGCTGACGCGGGACAGGCGCGGAGATTGACCGTGATGATCTTCGCAAGAAGTACGAAGAACTTTTGCAAACATGTAAAGAGAAGAACAAGAAGCTTCTTCAAACCCAGGAACTTTACGATAAGCTTAAGAGAAAGGCAATGCTTGGCCAGGTCCAAGATGCCGCTGAAGATGCTGTTAAGTCTAGCATTCAGGCTCCGTTTATGGACAACGAGGGAGTTGAAACTCAAGATATACCCTACTTCCAATCTCGCGATACAGTCTACGGACAATCGACTTCTCTACGTGAGAAGCCAGATATGAGTGCCTACAATTATTCCCAGCCTAACCTACCAAGCCAAATGACCGGTTGGCCGCGGACTCTGGGAATACAGAGTGAGTAGTCTTAATCCAAAAATATCAGCAAGATTTTTTTCTACTAACAACGCACAGGGGATATTCCTGTCACTCCATCAACTCACCGTCAACGGGTCGGTGATCCGACAAGTCTCGGCTTATCCACGATTCCTGGTCTTGTTGTTGGAACACCAAGATCACCACGCAATCCCATGAATTTGCGGGTGCCTCTCAGTAATGTTCAATCCAATCGCATTGTAGGCGGGAATATGATTGTCCCTAGTGGACGGATGAGCTCGGGGTTAAAGGTGGGACAAGGAGGAGACAGGTCTAGTAGTTTTATGACCGCATCTTCGAGACCTACAGGTAATACGATTTTCGTTTAAGGATCTTCTAGTCAAGGTTATGTTGTGCTAACGGCCACAAAGCTACTCCAAGACATAATTTGATACAGTCGTTTCAAAGCAACCCTGTAGCCTCGCAACCGGATGGATTTGGAACTAGTGTGCGAAATGGATGGGCTCGTTAGTAAAATGTAATATTGCGTCCGGATCTATCAGAGCTAGAATTACATGGGATGCGATAGCCCTTTCTCCTAGAGGCAATGCATCACCAATCCACAAAGCAGTTAGTAATAGCTCTTAGCAACGTTAAGCTAACAATGCCTTTATGTACCCCAATGCTTATAGCTCAATACAAAGAGAAAGTGTAGCAATATCTTGTTTCACGTAATAGGGGCATTCAAAGAGACTCCGGTCTTTTGTCCAAAGGGAACAATAGCTTTGTGGTTTCTTTCATCGTATTGGTGTATATCTATGAGATGGGAATAGCGCGCGGTACTTCTCACTCAGTTCACCTCCTGTGATTCTTGTCAAGCAGGTCTTGGAATCACATCACTGATACTTCTAACACTCCCGACACCCTAAAGCAAATTTCTACAGCTCTTTTCATCCCCTCTTGAAGAATTGTTTTTGGCGGAAACGATTACCGAAAGCCAGCAAACAAGCCTCCTGTGCCAGCAACTCCAGTTAATAACAAAAGCCATAGAATGACGAAGAATGGCGCTGGAACTACGCGAAATCAATCTTTGGTTGATCAACCTATAGTTGGGTGGCCGCTACCTTCTCGTTCGTCACATGTGCTGGATTCTCCGCCAACTGGAATACTGAATTCATCACAAATTGACCCTCGTAATCTGGGTTCTGCAAAAGAAGCGCTACATTCTCATCCCACACGAATATGGGTAGAAGACAAAGCTCACGGCTTTACTGAAAACGATAAGGGCACTAAAGTCCAGAACAGAAAGTTCGTGATATGCGAGAGAGGCCATGACGGTCACATGGTCATCAAAAGACCTGGGCAACCGGCAGTTGCAGTATCAAAGGCTCAGGGCGCAGTACTTGACCAGATTCTCGGCCTAGGGGGCCAAGAAGCTATTGAAGATATAAACATTAGCAAAGCTGGTACCTCTGCAATGCCAAGTATACAAGTAACTCCACCATCGGAAGGCAGTGGTCAAATTATGGAAACGGACCACCTTTGTGTTAACAATGCCTACAGAGAACTGCACGAGAAGTCCAAGAAAGAGATTCGTTTAGTTAAGTGGCAGCTTAAACGAGTGGTACCTCTCGCGTATCTTATTTCTGAGGCTGAAGGTATTGATATTAACAACACTACAGCACTAAAGGAAAAGCTCGAATGGATCATTGAAGACAGCAGAATGCTAGAAAAGCTACTGCCCCTCATAACGACGCTTTGCGAGGACCAAAGGATTGAGTTTAATGAAGACGCTCTCAAGATTTTGCCACGAGCTTTGCAAAAAGTACTATATGACGCAAGAGAAACTAATAGGGCTAGGTTTGTCGCAGGCCATCATAAACGAGCTCGACATGCTCTCGAAGGTCGAGTGAGAAGACTAGAAAGCGAACTTTCTAGACTGAGATACACCGGTGAAGAGGATTATATACGGCTATAGATTTCGCACCTCGTTAGCTCCAAGCTAATAGTAAGTCAAATCTAACAACACTGACAACTTACGTAGCGCCGTTAGGGTGTCGCCAAAAGTCCACCTCCCAAGTTCGAACATGCATCTATAAGGAACAATTTATGATCTTGTGTCTGTCTGCTGGCTCAGACGACCAACGAGAACAGCTGTGACTCTTAATGAAAACAGGGAGAGCGCGAGTCCACCCTGCCGCCTTCGAGATGATTATATATACACCTGAAAACTAGAATCCGTTTACACCTCAGCTGAGGAGAATCAAGAAGCTCCCGCAGTTTTAGCAGCACACAACAACACAACTGCCACATCAAAAACCAATCTTGCGACAGAGAGTAAGGAGTCATGAACCTTACTCTTGATGTCAATGATAACCACCCCTGGGGTGTATACATACATACTTTCAAGCTCTGCTAAATTTCCCCTTGCCTCTATAATTTCTTCGTTGAGACTGGCCAATTCGAGGAAACCCCTTAGCCGCATGGCATATAGTTCTTAGCCCGGTTGTAAGCTTTTCAACAAAGCACAGCAACGACGGGGACACCCGCTTATTGAAAAAAGAAACGAGATAAGAAGAGAACAAAGATTGAATAGATTATGATGATACCAAAGCAAGACCATATATAGTTAATAACGGAGTACTGATTGGTTTAGAAATGTTGTATTAAAGAGACACTTAATTCCCCTGAATATACACGTGTCCTTTGTTCCTCTCATACACCCCTGTGAAATTGAAATCCTTCATCATATTAGGCTGACAAAAGTATTCAATTGAATCATAAGAATTGAAAGAAAGTCTTCACCGCATGAACGTGATTCGTTGATTCCGGATGGCATTGTAGACCAATAACGAGCTTGAACAGCACTGCTATGGACAAACACACTACCGAGGTAAGTCTTGCACCTAAGAGCTGGTGGTTCAGAGGCTGTTTCTAGGTGCAATTGTAGTACCATAGTATAGTTACAAAGGCAAACAGACAACTTTGATGAAGGTAAACATTTCGAGCAGTTTAATGTGAATACCTTGCACTTGAAGCTTTTGCAATTGTAACTCGATTGGACGTGATAATGGCTAAAGTGTTAAAGTTTACCAGTTTCCGTTCACAGGAGAACGATTGCCTCTATGGCACAGGGGTAATGCGTGTCACTCGTATGTTCAAGCTTGCGAGTTCATGACAAGATCCGCGGTTCGATTCCGCGTGGAGGCATTTTTTTGGCAGATGTTTCATGTTTTATCTGCTTCTGGAGATAATTACTCATGGCTAGGTTGTTATCTCATTCAGGTCTTATAGTGAGATCATATAGCATGAACTTATGCCAACTTCGGAGAATATGTTCTTATCATATACTGAAAGAAATATATAATTCATTGGTTATTGATGCGCGTTTGGAATACTTGATAGCAGCTTCACCCTAGATTGCCAGACGGCTTCAGCTGCGACTCTCATCACTTCTGAACATAGTGATGGTAAGTTGTAAAAGTTTTCTCAAGTCTTTTTGACCTATCCGCCGGGTGCGCTTCGCTTGGGATACGTTCAGAGGACATAGAATATTCTGCAGATGGCAATTCTTTGTAGATCTCCTCACTGAATATCCTTTTATATGAAGTCTGTGCACCGCCTCGAAACTAAGGGGGTAACGAATGGACCAGGGAGCTATTGTTGCTAGGAATTTATATCAAATCATCAGCTAAACGTTTGAGATGAAAGTGGTATTCTCCAAGTCTTCAAATACCTTCTTAGTCTACCGCCATGCTGTATGAACACATCCGTATCTCTGCTCGCCAAACTTAGCTCAAGGGGATAAAAATTGTCACAGCGCGTTCTGTCGTGGCTTCCTCAAGGATCTTGGCCAGGCTTGGTGGATAGATGGACCTCGTGCAAATTGAGTGATAGATCGCATTGCTAAACTGTAAGTCACAAGTTTAACTTGTGTTATGCTTTAAGATCACTCGGGATATGATCATTTTACTCTACAGGGAAAAAGGGAATTGAAACTCCGGACATAGCTCGCATGAAGTTTTGTCACCCAATGGGACATCATCATCTAGAGTACTTTAGCATACGAAATCATTCTAAACTACCTATAGACTGTTACTAACGACCTTGTACTGCCCATATCCCCCTACAGTGCACTTACAGCATCTGATTATCCAGGCGACTATTCAAGCTGGGCTGGCGCTATAGGGTCACTGCTAAAGATCTGAAAAGGAGTTATCTGAGACCCCGAAAACTACTATAATCGGCCAAAATTTGCCTGCTTGACTCCCTTGCTTCCTAGCACGGGTGTAGTCTTACAGAGATTGCCCTTAATAACTCTGGTGCCCCATAGGTGGTGACAGACGTCACTGTGCGACCTAGATAAGCGAGAAACTACTATGTTTCCCTGCTACAGATATCAGTGACAAGGAACTATCTCGGCGAAAATCTAGATCCCAAACCCCGGGTTCGCGGGCGGGAAATTATTTCTCGGGGAGGATGTGCAACGTTAGGAAACGTAACGCCCGGGCGGTAGGTATCCGACAGCAATATAGCTCGATCGCGAAATTTTTCCAAAAGAGGATTCAGATCCTGCAGTCAAGCGAGTAGGCCGACGGGACCCAGCATAGAAGTTGGACGATAGACAGGACGAACGGGTTCCCTTGGTGTTCCCGACCGGCGGGGGATCGACCTACCTGTGCAGTATTAATCCATGTCCGAGACAGAAGGGTTGTGTGAAGGTCTCGGAATACCACAGGTGGCGCTACGCTGCGAGGGCGACAACGTGGAATGAAGAGCACGACCTGCCCATAGCTCTCTCGCAGAGCATCCAACCTTCCCATCCATCCCATCCTATCCGGCAGTTGGGGAAAGAAGAGATCTTACGATCGCACTACCCTGACGCGGAGGATTGTGACTCAAAATTCTGCTGTGTCCCAGTGGGAACGGTAGTGGGATGGCAGGAAAGCAATCAAGCCGGCACCCTGGGACTCGGCAAGGTGCCTCGTCAGTTTCGGCCCGTTAGAGGGAGGTAGAGACGAGATCGTGTGCCACATATCCGAAAGAGGTTATCGGGTACACAGAGAGAACAGCCCGAAGGCGTCTGCAAGGAGGAGATCCCGCTGTTGAACCCATCACAAGTTTGTCAAAGGGCTTCATTTGCCTGGCTTGCAACGAGCCAACACTCATTCTACCTTTCTGCTTATCGGTTGACGATGTAGCCTTGCATGTTGACAGGTTGTTCCGATTATACCCGCCCACCATCTGTTCTGCAAGGGCGACGCGGACATTGTTGGACGTCTATGCAGACAGATGGTGGACAGGCATTTGCTCATGCGACTGTTGCATAGGTGCACGAGTCACACACATGATGTCCTGACGCTCCTGCATGTCTCAGGTTCCATGTGAGATGAGTGTGCGACTGGTTTGGAAGACAGCAGCCAATTCTCAATGGAGATCGTGTGCACTTGGACTCATGTCCGCTGGCCCATATTTCATAGACACGTCTCTGTCTGGAGAGTTTATCATTTGTTGTTTTTGTCCCAGTCGCTGTGTCACGAACACTGAACATTTAGGAAAAACGGGGATCAATCACCCGCTGATCTAGGAGTAGGTTGTCTGATGGATTGTCATATCACAGTACCGCCCCATCTCTCTCATTACTTATGATTTTAGTGCAGCTGACCCCGAGAGCCGTAATGCTGTGAAAGCCGTCTGTAAGCCATTGATGTTGTACGTGCCCTTGTAGTGTAGATGGGCAGAGGCTCAAGTACAGAGAGTCAATACGGTAGTAGGTACATGTAAGTACCGTAGGTCGGCTCACATGGGAAACGGGAAACACTATCAATAGTATTGGGGCTCGATCCGCTTCAAAGGTATTGTACCGTAAACTAGCTTTCAAAGGGATGGGATTGTTAGCGTTCGCCCAGGTGAAGAAACGTGGCCTGGTCCATTACCTGCACTATAATGTATGTACGTCAGTAGTATTCTGATAGTCTATACGCCAAGGAGCTCGAAGTTTCGAAGGAATAGAATGCCACACTACACTAAAATAGGATGAGTAAGTCGATAGTTGACCGCCATCACGGTAAGCATTGCCGGGTAGATCTCTTTAGTCTCCGGAGTTTGCTAATCATGGCGTCTCGCGCATACTTAGGGCAAGTAGTCGTGTGTTGAGTACATAGTATCAGCGAGCTTCTCAACCAAGACTGTGTTTAGTCTCTCCCTTTGTAATTTAAAATGTAAGACTTGAAAGAAATAGTAAAACTTGGTTCATATGCAATCCACGCATAGAATGTTCTAACAGCTTGTCCCTAGTAGATCTGTGCATACCGAAATAGTATTTACTAAGCCGTATAGTTGTTCACCCTTCAAGAGTTCATCAGGCCTTGAATACAACCTTGGAACTACCGGCTTGCACAACATTCTCACGAACAGCGGCCTAACCTTAGAACGTTTTGCCATTACCTTAGGTTCTGTTTATTTATTTATTCTTTATTTAAAAATTTTTGGCCCTGGGAGTAGGCATTGCACTATTCGTGGCGTGCGCTGACTAGTGACTAGCTCTGACTTACAACAAGCAAATCAAACATAATAATTCTTACTGACGTGCTCACTGCGCTAAAGTCAGCCGTTGTATCACGGTTCTTCTTTCGGCGTATACTATTCCTTAGTGTATTGCTCTGTTAATTGAATTAAATGAGTAGCGTAACGTCAGGTTCGGGTCCTCGGAAATGTGAGAAATCCCTTGTTTGCGTTACCATTTGAGTTACCTAACCTACGTACTTAGTAAGGCTACACGTGTACCTACACAAAACCATCGTCGTCACACTGCTGGGGGGGTTCCAAATGGGCTGATCCAGGCTGTGAAGCTGGCAAGCTCGTCTATTCGCCCCTGTAAACTTGGTAGGTTGATAGCCGCAGAAGCAAGGTACGGACGGGGATGTAGTTAATGCTATGTTAATTGGGAACCTCTTATATGTTACCTATTTCTCCAGC